CCACAGATATCTACTAAGTACCTACTATGTACTAGGTACTCGGTTTTAGGTACTTGGTACTCTATACTAGGTGCTAGGTACACTGTTCTAAATGCTCAGGATAGGAGGTACCAGCAAACTAAAAAATCTGCCATGTGAAGAAGACATTCTGGTGCTGGAGGCAAACAGTGTGCAGGAAGCATAATAAACATGCGAAGGCTAGAGCAGCCGAGACGGGGGGCAGCCCGCTATGGCAAAAAGCAAAGGCAGAGCCAGAGGAGAGCGGACAGGCTGTAGGATTCAGCTGCGTAGTCAGGGTAGGCCTCACTGAAGAGACGTCTGAGCAGGCTTGCAGGAGGGGAAGGAGTTAGCTAAGGAGAATTGTCTGACCAAGAGTGTTCCAGACACAGGATCACCTGGAACAGAGGCCCCCAAGCCGAAGCAGGCCTGGGAAGTGGGAGGGACAGCACTGGAGGTCAGTGTGGCCAGAGTTGAGGGAGGGAGGGGGCACGTCCCAGAAGAGGCGGTCAGTAAGGTCAGGAATAACACGTTTCTGCAGGAGAAGTGCCCCCAAAGAAAGCGAACTATCAGCAGAGTTTGTAAGCCTAAGAAGTTCCTAGACATGGTTTTATAGATTGCTTTGACTATGTATTTGCTCGTCAAGAATCTAAAAGGTTTACTTTTTTTCTTTTTAGTTTTATTTATTTATTAGAGAGAGACAGAGCATGAGTAGGGAGGGGGAGGGGAGAGAAGCAGACTCGCTACTGAGCAGGGAACCCAACATGGGGTTCCATCCCAGGACCCTGCGATCATGACCTGAGCTGAAGGCAGACACTTAACCGACTGAGCCACCCAGGTGCCACCAGAGTTTCTTTTTTTTTTTTTTTAAGATTTTATTTATTTATTTATTTGACAGAGACAGACACAGCAAGAGAGGGAACACAAGCAGAGGGAGTGGGAGAGGGAGAAGCAGGCTTCCTGCAAAACAGGGAGCCCGATGTGGGGCTCGATCCCAAGACCCTGGGATCATGACCTGAGCCAAAGGCAGACGCTTAACGACTCAGCCACCGATGTGCCCAAGAGTTTACTTTTAATTTACAGTTGACCACAGTTGATAGGAAGTCTGATGCCCAGCTGGGCCGCCTACGTGGCGGGACTGTCAGGTGTCGAGGGTGGGCAGCGAGGGCCCTACTCTTGGCTCGTACAGCCAGGCTCCTGGTTGGTCTGTTTATCAGAAAGTCATGGAAAGTCAGAATAATTTTAAAGGGACACATAGATGCCTTAACAAAATATACTTAAAGATTTAATTTTACTTATTTTTTTAAAAGTTCATTTATAGCAAAATTCCATTCATTTATTTTGTTTTGCTTTGATAGAGCTGAAGGCCTTTTCTGTGATTCCGCAGGTCACCTGTCGTGCATCGACGATGCATCTAATCCTCTCGGTGTTCCCCAGATGCCCCTGAAGAGAAAGATCACCCCAGCCCTTATTTTGTAAAACAAAGCAGGCAGCCAAAAAAAAAAAAAAAAAAATCCAGTCCCAAGGCACTAGACTTCCTGAATCAGAATTTCCAGGGGGTGAGGACTGTTTGTATATTCTACAAGTGGCCCAGGTGACTCTCATCACCTGGGATTCTGGGAGAACACTGGATTATGACCTCTGGTTTGGATACTTTCCTACTTTTTTTTTTCTTCTTTAAAGTGCAACAAGAGCTTATGAAAAGAAATTTGTGAAGCAGCCTTTCCCTTAGTCTTTCCCAGCCACGTTAGTTTATTTTTTTATTATTTTTTAAAGATCTTATTTATTTATTTGTCAGAGAGAGAGAGTGAACACAAGTGGGGGTAGGGGTAGAGGGAGAAGCAGACCTCACTGAGCAGGGAGCCCAATGCGGGGCTTGATCCCAGGACCCTGAGTGAGATCGTGACCTGAGCCAAAGGCAGATGCTTCATCGACTGAGCCGCCCAGGCGCTCTGTATACAAATCCTTTTTAACAACCTTCACCGTTTTCCTCCTTGAACTTGTATTTCCATTCTGCTTTCACCCCAGAAATTCATATTCATGTAATACATTTTTATGCTTAAAATCTTTTGACTACCCTATTATGTTTCTGCAGCAAAATGTGGTATGAATCATTTGTTTTCAGTTTCCTGAAAACTTAAGAAATGTTTTATTAAAAAATTCCTCCGGATTGAATGATCACTAACAGTAATTTGTGGTATAGCTATTGAAAACAGTAAACAAATGAATAATTCATTTTGGTTAGTAATTCCATAAAAATGAAATCTTACTGGAAATGCATGTCTTCATAGATGCATAGGACATGAATTTTTCGGGTTAGCCCCCGTGCCCCTGGCCGAGTGTTGGAAGGAGACCGAGTTCACAGTGTTCTATCCCAGTGTACCTGCAGTCACCAGCAACTAACCTGTAGTCAGATTGGGGTCACTGGCTTTCTGCAAATGAGAGAGGAATGGGGTGCATGTCCCCAAATGAAGGAAAAGGTGCAGTTGTTATAGGATTTGGAGGGGGAGGGTGGCGTTTAAGTGAAATTTAAGTGAAGCTGTTTTTGGTAGACTGAGCAGCCAGCAGCGCCGTGCGGGAGTCAAGTGCAGTCTGGCTGGAAATGTGGACACAGAGTCCTGTTTCCCTGGAGACCGCAAATTGAAGGCAGATGGATAACTGCGCAGACGCCGCTATGTGAAGCTTGGTTCCGGGGTTAGAAAGCAAGGTTGCTGCTATGTGGCAGTGACTTGGGTCCTTCAAGCACATTTATCCTTTAGTGCTATAATTTCTTTTTTTCTTTTTTTTTTAAAGATTTTATTTGAGAAAGAATGAGAGAGAGAGAGCGAGAGAGAGCATGAGTGGCGGGGGGAGGGTCAGAGGGAGAAGCAGACTCCCTGCCGAGTCTCCATCGGGACCCCAGGATCATGATCTGAGCCTAAGGCAATTGCTTAACCAACTGAGCCACCCAGGTTTCCTACCGCTGTAATTTCTAACAGCAGTTCTGGATAGCTTAGGATTTTAGAGTACAGAATTCCTCGGGGAGTGAAAAAGCAGTAGTCCCTCAAAGAAGGGAGTTGTTTTCATACTTTGTGCAATTGTCCTGGGAGAAAAAAAATCTTGTTCCTATTTGCAGTTGGCTTCATCTGTGTCTCTTATTCTACCTAGTATTGGGGAGGACAGACCAGATTTTTCCTGGCCAAGCTAAGTTTCACCTTTCCAATGTCAATTGTAATTCTTAGCTTTTACTTTTTATAGATGTAGGTCCTGAGAATGTGAGACACGTAACTCCCCGGGAATGAAAGGAATTTTGTTATGGCATTGCCACTCAGATTTTGGATCTTTTCCAGAGTTATATGCTAAAATACACGCTGGAATTTTGTATCACATTTAGCCGTCTTTTCATTGACAGTCCTATCAGAACAGACCCTCTTTCAAAGTGTTTTATTGAAAGCAAGAATGGGCTGGCCCTTCCTTGCCTTGTCACCCAATCTCGAGAAAGTATTTGCTGCCCGAGATACAAACCAGCATTTCAAATGTCCCTTTATCTGGCCCTGCCTATGTTTTCATACTCTGTGATAAGGCAACAGGGTAAGATTTGGGGGTTGGAGGGGAACCAGCTTGCTCTTGCAAAGTAGGAGGAGGATGGATGTGGGAGGGAACACTCAAAAGTCACTTTCTCAGGAAGGAGAAAATGTGCAAGTTGAGGCTATGAGAATTCCCGGGAAGTTCTCTGTGACTGGCTGTAATTTTGGGGAAGTCCTCAAGGGGCTGTAACTGCACCTGGGGAGCTTTCTGGTGGCAGGAGGAGTGGAGATGACATCTGGTTGGGGATGTCCATTAGCCACACTCTATTCAGAGAGAGTAGTATTTGAGGGCTCAGGCATTCATGATCTGGGTTGTGTCAAGAATAAACAATATGGGGGGGCGCCTGGGTGGCTCAGTGGCTTAAGCCTCTGCCTTCGACCCAGGTCATGATCTCAGGGTCCTGGGATCGAGCCCCGCATCGGGCTCTCTGCTCAGCAGGGAGCCTGCTTCCCCCCCTCTCTCTGCCTGCCTCCCTGCCTACTTGTGATCTCTCTCTCAAATAAAAAAAAAAAAAAAAAAGAATAAACAATATGGGGCACCTGGGTGGCTTGGTTGGTTGAGCGTCTGCCTCCAGCTCAGGCCATGATCCCGGAGTCCCGGGATCGAGTCCCGCATAGGGCTCCCCGCTCGGCAGGGAGTCTGCTTCTCCCTCTGACCTTCTCCCCTCTCATGCTCTCTCTGTCACTCTCTCTCAAATGAATAAATAAGATCTTTTAAAAAAGGAATAAACAATATGAATATTGAATTACCTTGAGCATAAGCTTTTTCATTTTTAACTGTGCTCAACTGGTTTTCCTCTGAATACATTAGAAAATCCTGCTCTTCCAGGATTCTCTAAATCCTGCATTCAGAGTTGTTGTTTTTTTTTCCTTCCTGTTGTGTTTTCCCTTGAAGGAAGCAGACATGAAGTTTTCTTATTTCTCTCTCCTCTTTCCTCTTTTTGCTTGTTTCTACTGACTATAAGGCAGTTGTCGTAAGGTCCAACGGATGGCTTGAGTGTGCTCTTCGCTCAGCTGCGATGTTCATGGTCTGTGTGGTGCCTGCGGGTATTTTTCTTGTGTCCTTCGTGCACCAGAATCCTGTTTTTCTTAGTATATAGACTTCGTAAAACTTAGCGCTTCAGTTACGAGGTTGGCCATACCATTCTAAAATGCACTTTGCAGCGAATGTCTCCCCTATCCCTTAAATAAAATTCTTGTTTCTAGCACCTAAATTCCAGGCAGTTGCTTTCCCAAATTCCCTCGATTCCTGGGACCAACCAGGAAGGAAATGTCTACATCTAGAGTTATCCGAAACTAGATGAAAAAAGGGAGAACGAAGGTCATAATACCGTATTTGTGAGAACTGGGATTTTGCTTTGGGTGTAACTCAGAAATGTGTGACTTGCTGAAGTGGTCCGTTGATTTTTCTAACTCTGCTTTTCTGTCCTGTTGCAGGTTCCATTTCCAGGGACCATGTGGTACTACTCTTCCCGAAGCCCTTGCTCCTCATGAAACTGAAAATGTTTCTTAGTTGCCCTGCGGAAAGAAGAAATCATAGTACCTAGTACTAAGTACCTGGCAAGTACTTAGAGAGAGACAAGAGGAGAACCAGTCGTGGGACGGTGAGCTAAAGACTGGAGGTCTCAGAATACCCTCCAATTCCCTGGCTGGAATCCCACCTGATGATAAGTGAGGGGGGGCCTAGAAGCAACAATGGCAAGCACTCTTAGAAATCAGCAAACCGTCAAGTTAATACGTCTTGTTTTGCGTGGGCTTAAACATAAGATATCTCATGGGTGTTTGGTTGGTCCTGGAAAGGGAAAATTGTTTGTAATTAGATTATCTTTTAAAAAAAAGTCATTATCCTGCTTGAATTGTTGCCATCTAGACACAGAGAGAAGAAGAGGGCTAAAACCTTGGTATTTCTGATTTTTGCCAAGTTTTGGCGGAAAATAAAATTACTCTCTATAGTAGGTCATTTATTGTATAAAGATCTTACCCCAAGAGATGTCTTTGTTGGGGGCTTTTCCTTTTCAGTGTTTACTGTGTTTGGCTGCCTTACTTCACAGTGTGTGGGATAGCTCACCACAAGAACTCATGCAAGGAAGGAAGAGAAAAGTAGCATCAAGATAGAAAATCAGGATGAGAAAAATAAACGGTGCAAATATATGGACTCCCAGGATAAACACAGCTGCCTAAAATTGAGTACTGGCCTCCTTAGCAGTCGAGGGGGAAAGGGAGAGTTGACGGTTGACTGTTTCTTAATATCATAAACACAGAAGCATTATGGTCCCTGTGGGGGCCCACCAAGCTTTCCCAGACAGTGAATTCTGAAGGTTTTTTGGGCTTTTTTCCCCCCCTATGGACTTTAAGAAATTGTGCTCATATTACCTTGGAGTCAGGTAATAAGATTACAGCTCTCTGCTCAAGCCTTACCACCTAGGGCCCTTGGAATGCCTGCTGTGTGGTCTGACTAGCAGGAGTGGCCCTTATGCATGTAGGGAGGTCCTACATGCATAGGTCCCTTGGATCAGGTCAGCTCCCCGGGTGGTTACACCCCTGGGCCACATTGCCTCAGCCCCTTACAACAAAATTATATTTAATGCTACACCCTTGGCTTTTGTAGAAACAGGCAAGACCAGGTCACATAAAACTTTTTTTTTTTTAATTTTATTTTTTATAAACATATATTTTTATCCCCAGGGGTACAGGTCTGTGAATCGCCAGGTTTACACACTTCACAGCACTCATCATAGCACATACCCTCCCCAATGTCCATAATCCCCCCCCCCCCCACCCCCCCCCCCCCCTCAACCCTCAGTTTGTTTTGTGAGATTAAGAGTCACTTATGGTTTGTCTCCCTCCCGATCCCATCTTGTTTCATTTACTCTTCTCCTACCCCCTTAACCCCCCATGTTGCATCTCCTCTCCCTCATATCAGGGAGATCATATGATAGTTGTCTTTAAAACTTTTTTTTTAAATATATTTTTAAAAATTTATTTGACAGACAGAGATCACAAGTAGGCAGGGAGGCAGGCAGAGAGAAAGGGGGAAGCAGGCTCCCCGCTGAGCAGAGAGCCTAATGCAGGGCTCGATCCCAGGACCCTGAGATCATGATCCGAGCTGCAGAGGCTCAACCCACTGAGCCACCCAGGCGCCCCCACATAAAAGTTATTCCTGTACAAGTCATAACTTTAAATAAATCCCAGAGGTTCTTTCCATGGGCAAGGAGGGATGTTCAAAACTTATAAGGCGTAGGGCTCTTGAGGACCCAATTCACACTTCGCATGAGTGGGTCAAAGGATGTACACAGAGGGGGTCTCATATAATGCAGTTTTTCTACCTGAAATACCATCATTTATTGTTAATAGGTTTGTTGTTGGGCTTCTCAAAGTTAAATTCATACATTTTCCTAGTGTTAGGAATTATGAAATTTGGCACATTGTCTCAGTGAGTCTGATTTTATTTTTACTCTGTAATTTCCATCTGACCACGGTCCTGATATTTCATAACTGTTTTTTGCGACTCCTGTCCACTCATCCTGGGCCTTTGGTACCAGCAGCAGCTTTTGTTTTGGTTTGGTTTTGTGTTTTGCCATTTTTGTTCATGTTTTGATTTTGTTAGGGAAGATGAAAAATTTGAAAATACAAAAATGTATGTGACATTTAATTCAATGTCTACCTTATGATAGACATTAGAAATAAAATGATCAGTAAGATATGGACCTTACCCTCAAGGAGGTCACAGAATGGTTGGGACAACTGTCTTGTGAACTATTTTACAGAGTAGTAACCACAGTAAAGAAATTTGTGCAAGATTCAGAGGAGAATGCAATTAGAGATGAGTGGAGTAGAGATGGGGTCATTGTTAAGGTGTTTGAAAGCCTTTAAGAGGAAGTCAGCCCCAGTGGCAGTTTTGGAAGTATAAATAGTTCCACGTGGAAGAGTATCGGTAGAGGAAATAGCATGTACCAATGCCTAGCAAGTGTGCAACAGCTTGGTTTGCTCAGCCAGTGATGAGTCATTTCGTGTTGTATAATGAGTGGGAGAAGATAAACCCAGAGATCAGAGATCTGGGGAGTGGAGGGATAGAAGCAGTGCTAGGGTTGCTTTCACAAAGCAGTGGTGAAGTCATTCTTTCACCAGATTCAGGGTTTGCGCTGGACCAGCCACTGTTCAAGGTTCTGGGGTTAGAGCAGGGCACCAGGCCGGGACCCTGTTCTCGCAAAGCTTACATCCTAATGCGAGAGTTAGATGATAAGCTGTTAGGGGAGTGGTGTCGGTGATAGAGGCGTGTACACTCCAGGGGCAGGTGGTCAGGGAAGCCTGGGAAATGGCGGCTGAGGTCGCCAAGCACAGGTCTGGTGCTGACCATTGATTTAAGCCTGCATCTGTCAACTTGTTCCTGTCAGTGCCAGGACTGAAAGGCATCACGTCCTGTTGCTACAGTGCAATTCTGCCCTTGGAAGGAGATGTCACGTCTTTGGGGTCAGGGAGTGAATGGAACTGAATCTACAAATACTGATCACTTGGATCCGATGTGAAAGTTAATAAAGGGAAATCTTACTAAAATGGAGTTGGGAGGTTCAGCAGGGGCGGGTCTCACGCTCTACCACTTGTCCTTAATTGCAAATCCCACGTGTCCTTAATTGCAAATCCAACAGGAAGAGACGGTGGACCTGGGAGGTGAATAGGCTTCATTACCTCCGCGGAAGACCTTCCTCCCGCCCCAGCAACAGCCAGCCAAAGAGAATGGACTTTTTATGACAGCCTCTTCCAACTTCCCCCTCTCCTCTAAAAAAGATCATGCAGCCCTTAGTTTGGGGGACTTGCTGATGGTTTTGCCAACAGCTTGCTTGCCTGGCAACTCTCTGCTGTTCCGGAATACACCCATTTTTTCCTGCTGATAAAGCAACTGGCAGTTTTGTTTTTTAAAGTTAACAGGACCAAGTGGATCCCGGTGTTAGGTAGAGTCACCGGGGCTTGTGGTCACACGTTCCTGGGCTCCTGGACGCCAAAGCCCGTGGCAGCCGTACTGGAGGAGGGGGGACCCAGGCAACCCTGTCAGCTTCCCCGCGGTCTCACGATGGCTCTCCCCTTCTAGAAACAAGCCTCATTCCGTCCTGCTCTCACTGCGGAACTTCTAGTCGCTTATTTGAAGTGGAGAGAAATCCAGAGGGCGTCCCGGCAGGAGAAAGCTCCCTGAGGAGTGAAGATAACAACATCCTAACTGCTCTACTGTCCGTTCCGTAGGCCACGCCCTTTCCGGCTCTGCGCATGCGCATCCGCCGTCCCGCGGCCGTCCCCCCAACTGCACCTGCAGGGGGCGACGCAAGTCGCGTCGCTTGCACTTTGCGTCACGCTGCGCTTGCGCGTTGCTTCCGGGTCAGAGGCCAGACGGTCGGACGCTACGCGGACTATGGTACAGCTCCGGCCGCGCGCGTCCCGCATCCCGGCCTCGGCGATGGTAGAAGAGGGCCAGCCCCCCTCCGAAGAGGAGGAGGAGGCGGAGCACGGCCTGTTGCTCGGGCAGCCCAGCAGCGGCGCGGCCGCGGAGCCGCTGGAGGAAGAAGATGAGGAAGGGGACGACGAGTTTGACGACGAGGCCCCGGAGGAGCTGACTTTCGCCAGCGCCCAGGCGGAAGCGCGAGAAGAGGAGCGGCGGGTTCGGGAGTCGGTGCGCAGGTTCGGAGCCCGCCGCCGGCCGGGAGAACCGCCCCTTGCCGCGCATGTTGCCCCGCACTAACTTGTCACTCTTTCAGGGATAAAACGCTCCTGAAGGAGAAGAGGAAGCGCCGCGAGGAGCTGTTCATTGAACAAAAGGTTAGAGGGTAGGGAGGCGTCTCCCTATTTTAAAGCCGGCAGGGGTTGAGTGCCCTTGTGTGGCGCCACAGCTGGGGGGCCTGGGGGTGGGGAAGGTCGCTAACGTGCCTCAGAACGGCGAAAACAAAGGCGCGGGAGCTCTTTGCTGTCCGCTTGAGAACGGGAATGGGAAGGTCGTGAATTCGAGGTTCGAGGGTTCCTCCCACCTGGGACAGTACAGCCTCGTCATTTAGTCTCGCGGAGGTCGTTTCTCTATCCGAAATTGGGTCGCTGTGAGAATTATAAGGTGCTTTGTAAACCGAGGGCTGTACAGCAGAGTATGGTTGCTTTGCTCTCGGACGTTTGGCAGATGGGCGGCACAGAACGGACTCGAGGGGGACGGGACTTAATTGCGCTCAGTGCAGAACTGGGTCCTTTGGGGTGGCATACGGTGGGCAGCCTTGCCAGGCTTCACCAGGTCTTCCAGAGAATGTGGAATAGGTGCTGAGCTCCGTGCGCCCCGCCGTCCCACCGCTCAGAGATCGTGGGGCAGGGCTCAGCCCAGTTCATTCATTCTGTCTCGGTGTGAAGCTGCCCTTAAAATCAGCAACTTCAGAAGCAAGTGGGGGCGTACTGTCATGCACCTCCCTGCTGATCAGTGTTTTAATGTTTTTATCTAAGAAAAGAAAACTCCTTCCAGATAACATTCTAGAGAAGTTAACTACAGCTGGACCGACGAAGTAAGTAATGGATCTTGTTACAGACACCTGTGAGTTACGAATTGGTACGTTTATTTGAATCCAAGTAATGTAAGTAATAAAAGGCTACATAGCAGATATTTGAATCTGGTGGGAAAGGTGAAGGAAATTAACTCCAATTTTCAGTCTTTTGCCGATTCTTTGTTCATTCCTGTAGCTAACTCTGGCTTCTGAGTTACTGATCCCAGGGTGTTCAGTCAATAAATGCTTGTGCTGCTGTCCTCGTACTAGGGGCAGGATAGATGGTGGGGAATAAAGTAATGTCTTGGGACTTAGCATTTAGTGGAGTAGGAGACACTGTCCACAGGCTCCCGAAGGTCCTGTCCTGTACTTACCTTGGCTGCTATGGCTTCATTCATTTCATTTAGCAGCTCTGCCCTCTTTTGAATGGTTAAAGGCAAATGCCGTCATCCTCTTTCTCATCTGTCCCGTGAAATCAAATGTTAATAAACTTAGACTTCTGAATGTTGGGTAATTTTTTATGCCCCCCTTTGCTTCTCCTAAATGCTTTTATTTAATTAAGATTTAAAAATTTTTTTTTTTTTAAAGACTTTATTTATTTGACAGAGACACAGCGAGAGGGGGAACACAAGCAGGGGGAGTGGAAGAGGGAGAAACAGGCTTCCTGCTGAGCAGGGAGCCTGATGTGGGGCTCAGTCCCAGGACCCTGAGATCATAACCTGAGCTGAAGGCAGATGCTTAACAACTGAGCCACCCAGGCGCCCTTTTAATAAAGATTTTTGTCAGAGAAAGAGCTTAAGCAGGGAGCGGCATGCAGAGGAGAAGCAGGCTCCCCACTGAGCTAGGATCCTGGTGTGGGGTTCAATCCTAGAACCTGGGATCATGACCTGAGCCAAAGGCAAACACTTAACTGAGTCACCCAGGGTCCCTCCTAACTACCTTCATTTCAGAAGTTTCGTCCCGTATTTCTTATCTAGGCCACTGGTTCTTAAATTTTCAGCAAAAGAACTTTTCCAAAGTAATTCAGATCCTGAATATAATACATTCAGATGCATTTGGTGGCATATCCCCTTCCCTCTCTAGAAACCAGGCTCAAATGTCACCTCTTCCTTCTCCTACTCCCCTGACCCCATCACTTCCTCCTCTGTGTAGCCCTTCTACTGTGCAAGTGCTTCTGTATGGGAATCTCCCTGTTGTATTTTGTCAGCTTACATTTAAGTCTCTCCAACCAGTACTCCTTGAGGCTAGTCCTTGTCTCCATCCCTGTGTTTGTGCCTGAACTGCTGATGAATCCTTTGTGATTTCTCCAGATAAAAGGATGCCGTCCTGCCACCTTTCACTTCGTATTCTGAGTTACTGTTACATAACTCACTTTTTTCTTAAGTCCTTAACTGTTAACTACAGCAGTCTGCTTCTGTCGAAGTTTGCTAATATGCTTTCACAACTTAAATTCTAAGAAGTAGTCCCTCCGAGTATATGCTGGTTTGGGAACTGGTAGCAGTGCAGCAGGAGGGACTTCTGCTTTCCAAAAATGATCCTGAGTAAAAACTGAGGTTGGTGGTACTGAAAGGGGGATATCTTATTTGTAAAGCCAGATGGAATTGTGTAGTAAGTGAAGTAGTCTTTGCCATTTGCCATACCAATCCGTGTTTTCGTTATTCTTCCTTAGCATAAAGAAACCACCAGGAAAGCTGAAAGAAGGTATGAACTGTTCTGACTTAAATAACTTCTCATAGAAGTGTCAAGTGCATTTGTAGATCTCTGCAGCCACATGTTCCTGGCCCTAAGAGAGCGTGTAGCTTGGACCTGTTCTGTTTCTTACAAATAAGAATTGCGTTGAAATTGGTATGAGTGGATGTTTAAAGTGAACTCCAGTAAATGTTTCTGCTTTACTTTTACCTAATTACTAACCTGAAATAAAACTCAATTTTTTTTTTTTAGCTAATTTGCAGAAGAAAAAGGAAGAATATGAAAAAGGCAGTGACTCTCAGAACGCTAAAGAGAGAGTACAAAAAGTACAGTTTGTTGGGTAAGAGTCGTTTTTCTTTTCACCTAGAATGTAAAGGTGACCAGACTGTGGGAAAACCAATTCTGATATTTACATAAGAATATCAGTTTACTAAGACATAATTGTTAGTCCACTTCTAGTAAAATAAAATAGTTCTGTGATTTCGTTTTCTTCATCATCTGTGCATATACAAAAGGATTTTGATTTTTTCGCTTTTTGAAATAACTAACAAATTTTCGAAGTAAACACGTTTTCAGACTTGCTCATTTTGACCTTTTGTGTTGGTCACCAGCCAGAATAAAAGCTACGTGGCTCTAAGGCTCAAAGATCAAGATCTAAGAGACGCGCGTCAGCAAGCGGCCAAGGCCTTCATACAGAATTCTCTGTATGGTCCGGGAACCAACAGAACTACTAGTAAGTTCTTCACAGACTGTTTCTCTCACTTTTACTGCAAATTAAACAAAGAAATGAGAAATAATTATCTTTTCTAGTAAATAAGTTCCTGTCTCTTGAAAATAAGAGGTTACCAGTGAAAAAGGCTGCAGCTCAGTTTCTGAATAATGCTTGGGGTAAGATCCAGTTTTCTTCTTTTATATATTGAAAAATGTTCTTTTTTAAGGAGACAGTAAACAAGCACAAAACATCAGTGTTTTCCTTATAATGGCTTCTGTATTAGTATGTTAAAGTTGCTTTCTTTTGAAAAATAGATCAACATGTACATACATCTATACAATCTGATTTAATAAGCGTAATTTTAGTATTCATAGAATCTTAAACTTTGGAATTATTTCTTGGGAATTTTATATCTAATATTCTTACTGCACAAAATTTTCTGTTTTAGGAACCCAGAAAAAACAAAATGCAAAGAGGTTTAAAAGACGGTGGATGGTCAGGAAAATGAAAACTTCTAAGAAGTAAAGCTAAATGAAGAATGAGAACTTGTATGTACTTGTATGTATAGTATTCAGTTACGTGGTTTAGAGAATTAGTTTTTCTGAAAATCTAATAAATCATTTATAAATCATTTTGAAAGGTCATTGCAAAAATCCTAGATCTTTGGGGGAAGCCCCACCACCTCACTTCATCCTTCTGGAGCCTTGTTGTCTTTGAGGATTACACTGGAAGGGAAAAGCAACTTCAAAGGAATTGTTTTCCTTTTTATGAGCGTTTATGCATTTAACTGAAAGTGGGTCTTCCCCGCAGTGCTGGGCGCGCAGCAGGAGTGGCAGGGCGAGAGGAGGCATGGACAGCTAGGGGTTCCCAGCTGCAGCTCTCAGATGTCCTCGCCTTGCAGGTGTTTTGGTGAGAATTTGTTTCGTAGAACACAGAAAAGGAAAGAAGTCACTCAGTGCAGTATCTAAGTATCATTATTCAGGCGTCTGTACACACAAAGTTCATAGTCAGCCAAGGGATATGGTTATCTTGGTTACTTTACGGACAAGCCACGTGTGCCACACTGTAGTTTTTACAGAAACAGATTTCCTGTTGTCCGCAGCACCCCACTATCAGGTTTGACTGATCCGGAGGCTGATGCTCTGAAGGCAGTCTTGGGTTGTAGAACTCAGATTTATAGTATAAACCATTTGTTTTAATTACTCTAATTTTCTATTAATCGGAATATGCAGGTACCTGATATATAAACTCAACTGACACTCTAGTATCTGTAATAGTAAATTTTTAATGGCTGGTTAATTATATCACTACATTTTTATTGCAATATAGTACTCATTTAAGCACTTAAAAATGGAAGGTGTACAAAGATTAAATTAAGACACGGTAAATTGACTAAATATTTGGTTTTTATATAAATAAAGGTCATAACCACACTGTTGACATGTAATACTGTTATAATACAACAGTTAAACTGTGAGTCTACAACAGAAGTCGTCTGTAGTTAAACAGGAAACAAAGTTGAAAAAGACCATGTTAAAACAAAACTACTGGGACTAACAGGTCGGGATTGTAAGTAGCAACAAACATATTCACTCAGCTCCTGAGTATTTCAAGTTTTACAGTACACATTAAAAATGATTTCTTCCATCAACACTATAAATTCAAACTGTCGGATGTTTATGCGTTTTGCAAGTTACACTGATTGAATGCTTATATGGGAGTGGGGGTCGGAGCATCTCCCGATTTGAAGTTTACATCACCCACATGCTAACACAAACACAACTTGTTCCGTTTTCCTTCCCCCCTCTCCCCCAAACAAAGGCGGCAGGATTTTTTGGTTTCTTTTAGATAATTGTTTTAAAGGATTTGTGATGATCAATTTGAATGTCTGAAATTCAGTAATATTTAACTCTTAGACAACTAAGAGGTTAAAGATGGAAAATAATTTCTCCTAACACCAAGTTAGAAAATCATTTGCATCATGCTGTAAACTAGGAAGCAATGTAAAGCGACAAAAACCTGTCCCCAGTACATAATTAAAAAAATCTAAATTTCAAATCAGCAGAGCTGGTCTACTTCCATGTTGACTATATGCCACAGTACGCGTGCGCGCTCCCGAAATGCACGGCTAATGCAGGCAGTCTTCCACTGCGGCAAACGCACAGGATCCGATTCCTGATCGAGCCATCAGTCCTAGACACTGTGTGGCCTGTCCCATTGCTAGGGCAAGTGGAGGTTGCTTTGGCAGATTGTGGGTTTCTGAGGAAAAATGATTAAAAATGGAAATAGCAATTAGCAAGACATTTTCTAAAAACTCTCTGTTGGGAAGATACTGCATTTCTCTAAAAATTAGCCAACGTCTACACTGCTCTTAGTGACCTAACTAGCGAGGGTAGTAACTTCTAAGCCAATGCGGACTGTCTTGGACATGCTGCTCTGACTAGGTAATAGTACGGGTAGTAGGTATTCATCTGTTAAGAGAAATGCTTGCAGAATTAGACTTTTAAACCTTTAGGTACTTAAACTTACGACTGGAAAGATGTAATTTCTTCCCTGATACCTACAGTGGGGAGTAGGGAAGATTTAGTATTTCTCTTCAGCTTCACTAAAGTCAGCTGACTTACCAAAAAAAGACACCAGGTTTTCAGTAGAAGTTTCAGTGCTGGATTCTTCCCCTTCTGGGTAGAGGACCCAACTGAGGCTAAGTATCTCCAAGGCACAGTGTTAACAGGCGAGTGTTAACTTGGGTTTCTAGGGGGCCTAATGGTGATGGTGGCCATGAGTGATGACAAAAGCAAAATCACCCTCTGATCCTGGAGTTAATTTATAATTGACAGATAACTGCCCATAAATTAGTTTTCAGGGTCATGCATACCCCAAAATGGTCAACTACAGTACAGATGTTAATTATCAAAATCTGTTCTTTATCAGAGATTTAAAAAATGAACTACTGGGGAAAGTGGCCAACCAGCTAGAAGCTAGTGATCTCGGTGGAGATGTCCACAATTTAAGTTTATACAGATTCACAATTAATACGATTACTAATCAGTCGTTTGTAAGCACAGTTGATAACCAAGGGCAAAAACCATGATACTGGCTGGTTAGGCTCCCTATGACTGAATTCAACTCTGGATTCCAAGTCTGCAGGGTGGTGGGAGAAAGAAAAGATGCAGAAGGAATGGAGCCAAAAAGCGGCGGGGGGGCGAGGGGGAAGAAATTCAGGATTTAAAAGAGAAAATAGGATCAAGAATACAAGAATCAAAATATGGCAGAAAAGGCACACAGACTGGGGAGAAAGTATGGTTTGAAAAGTGGTCTGTGGGTTAGGGTTAGTAAGGTCCTGGCTATTATTTGGCAACACTATTTAGCTAAACTTGGATGATGATAAACATTTTTTGCCAAGTCTAATCCAAGCAGGACCGACTTTTAGAGTTCTGCTGTGAGTTGAGAACAATTTTTTATATAAAATCAGTGTAACAGAATAAAAACTGAAAAGGAAACATTTTCTCCAAACTTTCTCTTGTATAGGGAAGTAACGTTGCTCAAAGGTAAGCATCTGGAGGTACTCTACTTTGGTGAGGGGCAGGGGCATGTGGTTAATAAGCATTTTTAAGGGCGCCTGGGTGGCTCAGTGGGTTAAGCCGCTGCCTTCGGCTCAGGTCATGATCTCAGGATCCTGGGATCGAGTCCCGCGTTGGGCTCTCTGCTCAGCAGGGAGCCTGCTTCCCTCTCTCTGCCTGCCTCTCTGCCTACTTGTGATCTCTCTCTGTCTAATAAATTAAATCTTTAAAAAAAAAAAACATTTTTAAGGGGTTTTTTTTTGGATATAGAACTTACTGGAATTACATGCAATTAATATAACAACTTTAAGCACTAGAGATGAAACTAAAACATAAAAGAGCATATTTATAAATCTGTACACTGACCTATAGCAATCTGCTAATCTTGTCATTCTGTAGGAATTCTATCAATATAAATTTAAGTACAATATAGCTAAACCCACATACTACATAATATGTAGCACAGTATATAAGAATATGTATATCTTGCATAGTGGTCCTAAATTTAATATTTAATATCTGAATTCCCTTAAAGAACCCAAGATATTAAAAAAAAAAAAAAACTGCGAAAAAACTGGTTACTCCAATAATTCTTTCTAGAAGATGTGGCATATATATACAATGGACTATTACTCGGCTGCAAAGAAAACAATGAAATCTTGCCATTTGCAACGCTGTGGTCTGGAGCTAGAGCGTACTATGCTTCGTGAAGTCAGTAAGAGAAGGACAAGTACCATATGATCTCACTCACGTGTAGTTTAAGAAACAAAGCATGAACACAGGGGAAGGGGGGAAAAAAAGAAGCAAACCACAAGACCCGTAAAGACAGAACAAACAGGGTTGGTGGAGGCGGAGGGGGGTGGGTGGTGGGCTAGCGGGGGGATGGGCATTAAAGAGAGCACTTGTGATGAGCACTGGGTGTTGCATGTAAGCGATGAATCGCTGACTTCTCCTGAAACCAGCGATACACTGTATGTTAACTAACTGGAACTGAAATAAAAATTTGGAGGAAAAAATAAAAACAGAAGGAAATTCTTTCCAAGTCTGAGTTTTACCTATAAATGTAGCTGAAATTAAGCCTTCATGATTACTTATCATGTAGTAATTTCAAAAAGACAATTACAGTAAACCATAATTTGCCCTATAATCCCAGGATTGCTATTAAATTCTATTTCTACCAACAGAGCTAAATGAATTTCCTATAACCAAAGAACACAACACATTAATCAAAGAAAATTCACATTATTTATTACATACAAATTCTAAATTTAAGGAAACAGCACAAAAGATGACTTTTTTTTAGTAACTGTTCTTACCCCAAACACCCCACTATGATACCTTAACACACAACAAATTAACAGTTGGCCCTGAGAAGCAGGGCTGTGAAGTGCACAGGTGCACGTCCAAGTGGCGCTTCTCTGGATCCAGCAGTGTGTTTCCCCTTAGGTTTTCTTCCCATCTCTTCTCTAGCTTTACTGCAAGAACCCAGCACAGGAGGCATATAACACAGAACACGTTAACCAAGCGTTCCTGTTCCTGGTAAGGCTCCCAGCCAGCGGCAGGCTCTCGGTAGTTAGGTTTAGGGGGAGTCAAAAGTTACGTGCAAATTTTTGACTATGCAGCAGGGCTGGTACCCCAAACCCCACATTCCTCAAGGGTCAACTGTAATTAACTTCTATAAGAGCAAATAAATGGATTAAGGCTCAACTATGACTACTTGCTTCCTTTACATTGTGGCCAAGAGCCCTGGCCCTCTACATGTCTCCCTGTCTAAATGTTCTCGAAGCTACTCTTTGCGGCACTGCTCTCCTGCACCTAAAAAACAGTCTGAAACATGTTTAAGCCTCCACACCTGACAGGGCCAAGCTGTAGGAAAACACTTCTAGAGTGGAGTCTCATTTTAGCAGAGGAAGTAGATTCTAAAGTCAGGTGAAAAATCACTCTTACAAATTACATTTGAAAAGAAGTATCCGGAAATTAGAAGACCGTTTTACCTAAACAACCCTGTAGAATTTGTACGTAAACGCACAGGATGTCGCCGAGTTCACACACCTAGTGCGACTATTCAGTACACAAACGCCGTCCCGAGTCTCCGCAGCGAGCAGCCCACAGCAACAGCGACTCGCGGCCTGTCACTCGGGCTCACCTCAGCCAAGCCTCGCTCCTGACGCTGCCGCTCTTCCCTGCCCAACCTCTGTGCGCGGTAAGGGCACCCGGCGGAATACACTCAACTTTAGTGCAAACGTCGTGCTACTCCAGGGGCTGCTGCCTGGCGCGCGCCCTGCAGCCTCAGTCCAGAAATGCTTCTGCAACCTGCGCACAAAAACTTCGCGACTTCCCCAGGTGTCCCCCAAAGTACTGTTCAGTCCATCTGAATGCACTTCATCTGGAACTGAGACAATGGAGGGGAAGGTTTCTGTATTCCAAAATAATTCTAACTTTTAAAAAATGTAGAAAGCATTTCCCCTCAAGGCTTTACCAAAACAGAAATCCCAGCACAAATATCACCTCCAATATTCAGAGAGTCTCGTTGAAGCTGTGGTTTTACTCACCTAATATTGCACTGTTAAGAGCTGAGCACACGGGTTCTCTCTGAATTGGGTCAAGCTGATTTCCAACTGGGCTGTTCCAAGGGTCTGAGTAAGCGAGTAAACTGAATGCGTCCTGTTGAAAACAGAGTTTGGTTTTTAATTCAAACATTTAAACCACCATGGTCCCCCACAGCTACGAAGTTGAGAGACAAGTAAAATACACGGCTTCATGGCCCTAGACTACTGTCACAACCCACCTACCCCTATGCTTAGGCTGTATGTTTTTTAACAACTAGATTATGCAACAAAGCCCAAGCTGTTTTCATTTCTCTTTACTGTAAACAGCCATTCTCATTAATCTTCCCCCATCCCTACAACACATGCGGAACAGTAGAATTAAAACGAATTCTTCTGGAATGTGCTACTTAAAGAGGAAGACAAAAACATGCAGATGCTCTATAATTTATTACCACTGATACAAATTTGACATTAAAAGGATAGGACCTCCCTGTGTATTTTTTTTAACAGATGTGGGGACTCGCTACAACTCACTGGATATCATTTTCTCACTCAGGAATCAAAAAAATTAAACTGGCTCCCCTTCCCGAACATTCAGTAGTTCCAACTATCCTCAAGCCACCCTTCCCAAAGGAAGTGACACACGGTCTTTTCAATCGCTCTTTGTCTTCTTTCTATGGGAGGTGCATAGGACCGTGGTTTCAAACACTGCTTTCAAGTTCAAGCTGCATTATCAGCTGCTGTGTGGCCTCTGGCGGGCAAAGGCCTAAGTGTCCATTTCCTCATCTCTACAGAAGAGGTCCAGCCTGAGAAGGTCGTGAGGACGAACAGCTCAGTGAAGTTAGCAATGTCAGTTCATTCTAACCTTTCAACACGTGATTTCTTTTTCTTTAAAGAATAAAACCTTTATTCTTTACTCCCTCACAATTTGAGGGAGTGAGCGAGCAAGGGGAGTGGGAGAGTCAGAGGGACAAGCAGACTCCCCGCTGAGCAGGGAACCTGACTTGGGGCTACATCGCAGGACCCTGAGGTCACGACCGGAGCCAAAGGCAGGCACTTAACCGAATAAGCCACCCAGACGTCGTCGTATTTTGCCACCAGTCAGTGCCCTCATGTGGAGCACCAGTATAGACCCAGAGAGACAAGTAACAGGACACCTTCCCATTCAGAAGGCATACGTGGAAAAGTGCTGCGGAAACCATTCATCAGTGAATTCGGTAACGACACTTCCGAAACGCTGGCTGCGGACACGCGGAAGGCTGAAATTGCTAAAGCAAAGTATTCCCAGGTACAGCCGCACTGACGTTCCTCTACTGAACTCCCCGGCGCTCAGGCGGGGGAAAGGCTGGGGCCGGCCTGCGTCGCGCACACCGGCCTCCGCGCTGCGGAGCTAGAGAACCGCCCGCACGGCTCTAGCTGTCCCCGAGGCCACCAGGCAGGACACACGTGCGGCTCGCCCACGGTCTGACACTGATGAATCTCTCCCTCGTGCCAGACAGCTTGAAAGGTCTCTGAAGACAAAAATGTATTACCCTATTCCGAGTCCCCTGCAGCCATAGGCGCACGCGGGGCTCAGGGAAGCAGCTTCCCACGCCCGCCAATCACGCGAGCGGCTGCTTCCGGTGCGCCCCGCGGAGCTGCTCAGTTCCCCATCCCAGTTCCCTTCCTCTGGGCTTGGAAAGACGATTCATGTACTACCACCTGGAAAGCCAACTCTGATCAATCACATTATTCCTAAAGGACTGATCTTCGCTCAAGACTTATTTTACCCAACAACCACCTAATGGAGGACCATCCCCATACTACGGATCCATTTTTCAAGTACACCGAAGAGTTGCCCAGGAACAACTGGTGTATGAAAACCTTTAAGCACGAGACTACCCCGTTGGGGCTACAGACTCAGACATGCTACCAAAAAGAAATGGTGCACCCCCTAATCTCAAATCCAGACCATCCTCGTGTTTACACCTTCCTTAGTATTTAAAACAAAACCTCGTGGAAGATGGCGATCATGTGTCATGCACTAATACCGGGTGCAGGCATTTTGTAAGCACGAACATGGACAGACTCATTTTATCGTCACAATAACCTTAGGACGGGAATACTGCTGTGCCCAACTTAGAAGCAAACCGAGGCCGAGAGAGTTTGAGAGCACGCAGCTGGTGCAGAAGTCACTTAGGAAGATGCGGTTTCTTTAAATTGCCACTCTAAATACTAGGACAAAAAAAGTCCAAAATTTTGCTCTAATATTTTCAATACTGTGGAATACAGTATTGCACAAAGCTGCCAGACGCTTAGGCCACAGCTGGCAATCCCCAGGGAGGGCCGCCACTGCTTCGAGGACCCCCACGGTCTTAGAGGAAAGTCAGACACGTAAATAAACAAGGTGCGGTGCGCCGCTTGTTAACAGAGTATGTTGTGTCACTGACCCAATCCCAGAAAGAGCCCCAAGCTCCATGGAAACAGGCTGAGAGAAAAGCAGGCCTGGATGGAACCACAGGTAAGGGGTTCGAGCCTAAAATGCCTCTAATCACACTAAAAAGCTTGAATTTTTTTCCAATATGACAGTGGAGTTTTTTGTTTGTTTGTTTTTAAAGGATTCTATTTATTTATTTGACAGAGATCACAAGTAGGCAGAGAGGCAGGCAGAGAGAGAGGGGGAAGGGCTCCCCACTGAGTGGAGAGCCCGATGTGGGGCTCGATCCCAGGATCCTGAGATCATGACCTGAGCTGAAGACAGAGGCTTAACCCACTGAGCCACCCAGGCGCCCCATGGCAATGGAGTTTTAAATCAAGGATCGACATGGATAAAACTGAACTTTAGAAATCTCACGCAGCAACACCAAAGAACAAAGCCTGGAAGTCAGGCGAAAATAAAACCTTAAAAGGAGAAATAAAAAGGTTTACACCACCAGGTTCCCTGAATATCTATTTTATCTTTCTTTACAAAGGGAATGAAGTCAGGGCAGCAACATTAATGTTTTAAATCCTGCAGTAAAACAACTGAGGGTGAAGTTCTGGTGACCAAAGAAATGCAAATGAGCGGTGTTAAGGTCTGATGTGGAACCCACTAGAGTAGAAGAATCCAGTAGTGCCTCTGGCACTTTCCTTTTCTACTGCTGGTAAGCCGGGAGAGGTTTCTGGAAAGCAGTACAGCAATACATAGCAAAGCCACAATAATCCTATCCTTTGACCCAATCATTCTATTTCTAGGACTTTCTCCCAGCGTTACAATTTTAGGGAAGAAACAAAGACACATGTATAAAGGCGTTCACTACAGCGCTGGAATAAAAGCAAAAAGTCTAACGGAGCAGAGCTTACACGAACCGACCTGCCAGCACCGAAGAGCAGTGCGCGCGGCCACTTAAAATAACTGAGGCACAGAAACTGGAGGTAAGCGTTTAGGGCTGTCAACAGAAACAATACCAAACAGCACAACTACAATCACTAGGTAAAATGCACGCACACGGGATTTAAGGCACAAAACTGAAAATATCTTTGAACTATCATGGGACGAGGGGTTACTTTTTACCTCAGAAGAACAGGTCTCTGTGGGAAGAATCTCGGAGGCCAGTGTGACACCAGTTAGGTAGGATTCTCAAACTGTACTTACAGTTGGCTTAAAACCGGTAGCAGTTTCTAAACAGGGTGAGTCCAAATTGTTCTATTTTTGCTTCGGTTGCCAGCTGGGGCTGCTCGGTCCTGCTGGCCTCGGCCCCGCTGCCGTGCCTGGCCGCCCCGCCGCGGTTCCATCAAGGGTGGCGGAACCCATGCAGGTGGCGGTCTGGGAAGCCGCGGGCGGGCAGGCGTCGGCAGGTGAGAAAGCGGGAGAGCCCGGGCAGGGGCGCTCCTGCCCCGGGTTCAGTCCGCACCAGGCCCGCTCCGCCAGGACTCAAGGCCAGTGGAACGCGAAGGGTCTCCCGGGAAAGCATTCGGGGACTCTTACCTCTGCATTTAAACAAATCTTGCTCTATGCAGTGATTCAGATATCTACGCAGATCCACACACAATGAAAGATAAAAAAACACCCACTACGATCACGTGTGCCCTGAAGTGAAAAATGAAAAGGAAAAAGAGAAATTTCTAAACCTTCTGAACGGCGGTAAAGAAACTTTGCGTGTTGTCCTCGAATCCTCCAGCTGCTCTCCTGGGGCTTCCAAGCTGGATCAGTGAGCTTAGCCCCCTGTGCATCAAGGGGAGCTGCGGGAGGGGGAGGAAAGCGTGCAGGATACTGAGGAAGTCTCTTGAAGCAGCTGGCATCTGCTTCGAAGTCAGAAGTGCAAAATCAAAGCCATCCACATGCTTTAGATGAAGAAGATGAATTACAGCTTCACATAATTCAACATATAATCAAGGACTCTCTTCGAGAAGAGGCCACTGATGCCATTTTGGGAGCTCTGTGCACACTGGAACCCAAGTCAGTCAGCTGATGAAGTGAAAGCCTGCATTTTCCAAAGACACCACAGAAATCCCAGTCCCTCGTCGTGTGCCTTTGGCATGAAGTTTGAACAAGAAAACCGTCACATGACCTAGTGTAAAAAAGTGTATGAAATCCTAAAAACATTTCATATCTCCAAGTCTCCCCTCCAACAGGAGCGCTCCCAGGACCCTCCAGAGACACCGGGGTCCCATCGGGGACCCTCTCAGGATGTCTTGTAAGTTCCGAACTGCTTTCATAAGGAAACAAAGATACTCTGTCTCGTCTCACTCTCACACTCCCACAACCACACGGTGGAGGGTTTCCAGAGGCTCCCGGCTCCCGGTGCAGACGTACAGGGAGGGAGGAGAACGCAGCTTACCCTCCATCATACCCAGCGTTTAAAGAGACGCGTACAAACATGCAGCAATGCCACTGTGCTTGTTTTCTGAAAGTTATTTTTCATAAAAATATCCAATGGATTTATGATTATTTGTCAATAGATTACAGTTATAATTTCTAGTATGATAAAAATAAATATCACTCATATGAACAAAACTCTTTTGAATAATCATCATTAAATAGCTAGGTGCCACCTGCATTAGATACAGTTAAAGGGCGAGGAACGAAGACCCACTCTGGCCTCAAGGAATTCTTCATCTCAGAGGGCAAATGTGGACAGCCATTTCCCTAACATACGGATGTCTGATTTTTATTTATTTTGTGTTCTTTAAACTCCAGTATAATTAGAGTTACATTAGTTTCAGGTGTACGTTACCACGAGACTGAACAACCCTATGTGTTCCTCAGTCCTCATCACGTTAAGTGCGCTCTCCACCCCATCCCCGCTTCACGCCCCCACCTCCCCTCTGTTCTCTGTAGTTAACAGCCCTTTTATCTTTTCTTTGTTCGTTTGTTTTGGTTCTTGAATTCCACATAGGAGTGAAATCACGTATCTATCTTTCCATGACTGACTTGACTCAGCATTATACCCTCTAAGTCCATCCATGTTGTCACAAATGGCAGAATTTCATTCTTTTTTAAGGCTGAGTAACATTCCACTGTGTGTATATATATAAATAACACAAATATATACACACACACAGAGCACATCTTTATCCACTGGTCTACCAAGGGACACCTGGGCTGCTTCCATAATGTGGCGATTGTAAATGCCACTACAGTAAACACAGGGGTGCATGTATCTTTCTGAATTACTGTTTTCACAGTTTTGGGGTAAATACCCAGCAGTGGAATAACTGAATCATATGGCAGTTGTATTTTCCTTTTGGGGGACCCCTCCAAACTGTCTCCCAGAGTAGCTGCACCAGTTTGCAGTCCCAAATCAAAATAGGATTTGACCATTTTAAATAAAAAATTGTTTAAATTACATATTCCACTGATTTTCTTTTGCTTAGCATAAAAATCATAATTTAACCCCAGTTTCTGGCTGAGCCCCTCCCCCCCCCACCACTGGAAAGAGCAGGTGGGCTGTCCCCACGCATGTGCAGGGAAGCCACTGCCCCTCCCACCTGGGCTGCTGGCGCTATAGATAAGGGGCTCCTTATCCGCTCAGAGGCTAAGCAGGTATGCTCTGTCTATACAGCAGGTGCCACACCGAGGCCACAGCACAGGAGGCCGTTCCCTGTCTGCTGCCCTCATGCCAGGCTTGGTGCTACCAGGCAGTGCTGGCTGGCGCGCTAAGTCTCAGTCTGGGGCAGGAAAGGGCGGCCCGGGCCTTGCTCTTTCCCACCAAGCCCAGGCTTGGGCTCAGGGCCACCGCACGCATCTCCCCTTTGTCCTTTGGACTTCTTACAGAACATTCCAGAGAAAATATTTACAACGAATCACCTCTGAGCCCAACCTAATGCTAATGCAGGATTACCAAAGAAAGAAAGAAAGAAAAAGAAAAAAATCACAATGGCTAGGTTAATGTTTCACAGACTCACAGGGTTATTGGGACTTTAAGAGTTAAAAAAAAAAAGAAGTCTTTTAAAGAATCTTAACATCCCTACAAGGGACTGTAATGCTGACTTAAGGCAGGGGAAAACTCGTCCATCTGCAACCGATCTGTGAAACTGGCTATCATCCTGTAGTGCTGACATTTTACCCATCTTGCCATCCACCCATCACACACATCAATCCAGAAGAGATCTGAGAATGTATCTCAACCCCCCCCCCCCCCCCCCCCCCCCGTTTTGAAAGATGACCCAAGGCCGCAGCAATCGCCATCAAAACGGAAACCCTGCAGGAGACATTCAAGGCGTTGCAGCCCTGCGCGGCGTTTGCAGAAATAAAAATAATCTCAAATTTATATCTTTACCAGCAAACCCACACCTCTACCAACTCTGCCAATTTCACAGCCGAGAAAACAGAACCAGACAAGTTAGTCGAGAGAGGGTATACAGTGCCGATGGGTGGCAGAGCGGGGATTTAATCCGCATTAGTTACTGGAAGTCCAAATGGAATTCCTAGCACGACTCAGTGTTTTACAAAATGACAATTGAATTCCTTTGACACGTTTCTAATGTTTCAAGGAAAAACAAATCTACCTTCAACATTTTTTTATTCGCTGTGTTCTTGCCACACTCCCTCCTCAGCTGTTCGCTCATGGCCTGCAGCTCTCTTCCGAAGTGAATCATCCTCTCTATGGCGGCCTGACTTCCTCCACACAACTGGCGTCTTAACTGACTCGAATCAACTTCTGTAAGCGAAACAAATGAGTATTTTACTACCTTAATAAATGGAATACAATGGAGAAATGAACATAAATTGCTTATAACAGTCTGTACATTTCATTTAGGAACTACTACCTAATAGTTTATCTAAACACGTGGCTTTATTTTAATTCAGTGTGAAACGCTGCAGCTAAAAGGGCTACTTCCTCTAAGTCTCAAGAATCTAGGCTCCAAACCCAGCACGCAGCTGAAAGTCCGGTGACAACCTTCCTGTGCAGTGGGCACCTAGGGTATCAGGGAAAGGTTTATGAGAAGTTAAGCACAAATCTCTAACACGACATTAAGCAGCATTAAGAAGAAAGGAACAAAGTCAGTAACTGCCTCTCAGGCTACTCTGACCAAACAGAGATGGAATGAAAGGGTGCCTCTTGGCTAAAAGCTGAATGACTCCAAAGAAACACAGAAGACACCACCTTATCGAAAGGGTTAATCACATACTTTTACAAAATAATTGTATGGCATATATTTATCTTGGTGGACACCAACCACTGATCAATAATGTAACTGTATGGATGACTAACGATGACATGATTAACATTCACTGAGCACTTACTTTGTGCTTATTAGCTTTTCACAGATTGGCTTATTTAATCTTCACAATGACCTACAGGCGTTGTTGTTATTACTGTACCCATTTTACAGATGAAGAAACTGAGGCACTGAGCTCTTAAGTAACCTGCACAAGGTTACACAGCTAGTAAGTGGCAGTTGCAGATTTTGAATCCAGGTCATCTGGCTCTAGAGCCCCTGTTCTTAAATCACCATGCTTAAGTTACTCTCTGAATGTTGAAGTTGTTGGTATCTGACACAGGAAAACGAGGCTGCCTTTTAAATTAAACCCCTTGCCTGAGAAAATGAATTCTATGTTGAACACATAATCCTCAACAACAATCCTCAATACAGACCTTTTAACATCAAAATAGTCAGAATCTAATGTTGCCATGCAATTCAGATAAATAAGAATGTTGAGGCTCCAACAAATTTTCATTCTCCAACTGATGGGAGAGTTTGCCAATGGTTTAACTTTGTGGCACGATTTACTTACACAAGTTATCAACAAAACAGAACTATATATGCTAATGTGCTTTTCAGCCACATCATTTTTGGGCGGTAGGGAGGAGAAGGGTGGGTCACACTTAAGAACCTACTATGTGCCGGGCACCGAACTATGCATAAGGCACGTACATTCACATTAAATTGACATAAGAAATTGTCTGATTAGAATTTATAAAATCATTTCTACCCATCTGGCCTTTACTGGTTACACTGAAGTAAGTATAGAAACCGTTCACACCTCCAGCCCCAAACATGCTACAGAACAGTTAACACTACCAAGAGTGCGGCTGCATTAATGACAGCATTGAAGTCAGGGAAACCATCCCACACCGGAAACTGAGAAGCGCCTCTGCTCCTCGAGCAGCCCACATCCACGGGACACTTTGGGCAATATGTATTATATGTACGATTGTCAAATCCAATGGCACATACATCTTTAAATCTGATTTATGCTCATCAGCTGGGAATCAATACAAGTAAAAACATAACCTTGTAGTCATCATTTTTTATTAAAAATGTAAGAAATATCACTGCAGACCCATTTCGGTGTCACAATCTTCCATTTCGTGGTCATGTTTAGAGCTACCGTTTAGGAAACCATTGGATGAAGTCTCTCCAACCCCATTGGAGTAGTGCTCTGTTTCCATGTCTACATCATTACTGGAAATGAAAAAAACAAACCTAATTTTAGAAATCGCGTACTTGTAGCTTAGTTTAAAATAAATTACTACTCACTACATATAGCCCGCTTATATACTGACTTCATAATATGAGACGATAGCAATCTGTAAAAAAAGGTGTTTAGTTCAATCTTGAACGTCTTCAAAGCCAGTATGTAGCTTGCCCTTAACAAATTTGTACTCCTGGATGGGAAGGGGAAAAGGGTATGTCCTAAAATGTAGGGGTTTTCTGACTTTCTAGCAGTATGGACAAACTTTTTCACATACTTCCCACAATTTTACTGACTCAGATCTGCACTTCATTTTTTGCTCGCTGATGAGCCCTTGCCCCAAGATCCCCCACCTTTACCCTGCTGCGTGCATTTCCAGCATTCAGGGAAAATGTGGGGGCGGGGGGGGGAAGGGACTTCATTCTCAAACTATTCCCGGGTCCCGCTTCACCTCTTTGCTGCCCTCATAGTCATCTCTCCTAAGACGATTTGTTCTTTAATGGTCTTCACTTTCTAGCATCTGTCTTCGCGGCTCAGAAACACAGCCTCCCACAAAAGTAAACGATGACTTGGAAAAGCACTCTGTCTGGTCCTCTCAGACCTTGTCGGCACCCAACACGATTCTCCTCCCATGGGCTTTCTTTCTTGTTTAAGAATCTGCCAAACCTTAATTTTAAAAATGCCATTTTGGACACACAGGTTGCTCCTTTCACTTGCGTCTCCTTTACTGACGAACAGCCCGGTGCCAGTCCCCGCATGTGGACACACTGACGCTGCTGCCGCGTCCCCCCGCCCACCCCCCGACACTCTAAGCACGACAAACACCTATTCTCAAAGATTTCTCCAATGAAGATCTACATAAGGATTCCATAGTCCAGAAGGACACACTTGATGAAAATACAGCAAATACATTAAAATGTACTTTTCTCATTCAAAAAGCAATGTATATTCATTTGTGGGGGGGAAAAAAGCAACACCGAATGCAGATGAGCAAAAAGCGCTCTGTACGTGAGGCCACCAGACACAACCACAGGCAACACCTCAGGGACAGCATGCGAGGTGAAGTGTTTGCGCGTGAGGGCGCGACTTCTATCAGCAACACACATCAGGGGAAAAGACACAGATCTAGGGAGAACGGGGCAATGGCCCCAGGATTCCTCCATCAGTCAGAAACGCTTGTTTACTTTTTTTTTTTTTTTTTTTTTTTTTTAAAGTAGGCTCCTCGCCCAGCACGAAGCACAAAGCGGGCTCAGACCGGAGTCGAGATCAAGAGTCGGATGCTCAACTGACTGAGCCAGCCAGGCACCCTGGTTTACTCTATCCTGACGAACTCTGAGAATGGGTAAGACAAATCAAATTTTAGAGAGAATAATGTTTAATTTAATGGAAATTCTTAAGATCATAGTTTTTAGCGATCTTAATAAATATACTAAACTTTTTTTCCCTTTTTTGACAAAACAATGTACTATTTGGGAGGGATTCCTTCATTCGAAACCTATTTAAGAAGATCTTTAGAGCGTGCTTGGTGTTCGGGAGAAGCAGCCTCTGCCCTTCAGGGGCGAACAGAGGATCAGCACTCAGATGGTGAAAGTTAACTACAAGGAGTGACACAACACTGAGTAGGGACATAATCGAGGAAATCATCCTTCAAGAGTAACAAGGGGACTGAGTTTTATAGCCTGCTGGATCAGATGTGGGGGGGGGTAGGGAGCAGCATTTCAGATGGGTGGACGGTGGAGTGCAGTATAATGCAAAAAGCACAAGTCTGGGAGTCAGAAATCCTGGGAAGTAGTCACGGTTCTGCAACTTACTAGCCCCTGATTATTGAAACTGACCCCCACAAAAGTCATTTGCACTTCTGGAGTTCAGCTCTACATCTGTAAAATGGTTTTAACAGTTAATATCATCTTCGCCTACTTTGCAATCCCACTGTAAGGACGACTTTACCACCTATAAATGTAACTGTTTAGTAGTTTAAAGCAGTTTAAAAGCTTCCTTTCTTCTCCTTCTACACTGCACTCAGAGCAGGCTGTCACCAAACCCTTCCAGTAAGCGTGCTGCCCTGAACTCAGGTGGTAACAGCTGTCTTTAGCAACTTCCTGCCATGAAGAGTATTTAAGAGACTAACGGATGAACTGCCCGCAGTCCTGCCCCCATACAAGGACAGACCCTTCTACCAACAATACAGTACAGACGTGCTATATAGGACGGTAAGACCTAAAGGAAAAGGCTTAACTTTCTCCATTTCCATGTGTAATTTTGATTACAACCCAGTCTTCTAATCTTCTGTTTTCCAGTACATCACTGCTCTTGTGAAAGGCTACCCTAATCTCCTCTGCCCGAGACGGCCATTTTTTCTACCACTCTTCCCACACCACCTCTACGGACCCCCCACCGCCGCAGCCGCGCGCACACCACCATCTCTTCAGTAAGTCGGCACTTGGGAGAGATAATCTGGATATTCCGATTACTCTCCCAAATCACAAATACAGGTTTTTATACCTACGCCTCTCTCCAGAATCATATTTCCATTAAGATTCCATGTGAAAAAGTTTTGCACTGATGAACAACGCCCCCCCACAAAGCACTGCGACCGATCAGTTCATGTAATGAGACCAAACCAACATCAGAATGATAAAATCTACCCGTGATTTTTTATCTGTATTATTTTTATCATTCCACCAGTCCTGAACCAAAGTGAATTGAGATGCTGGATGATCCGGGCAGGCTGACCTCATAAGAGCTTGCTCTCCTACACTCGTATCCAAACAGTAACATTCCACGAACCTTTAGGTCCAGGAATCTTCAACTGAGCGGATCCAGGATTTTAGCAGAATCATACAGACATCCCTTCTCTCAAAGCTCTGGGAAGTCAGAGACCACGCCTAGCAGAATGTTTGACACCCAACAGGTCCTCAATACCACGCTCATGCTGGATGTTTATTACTAAATGACTTAAGGTCCATCTGCTGCTATAAGCAAGCTCTCTAAACACAGGCTTTCAGAAAAGATTCTTCATAAAGTTATTTGGAACCCAGGAAACATTCTATACATTTACACCAAAAAAAAAAAAAAAAAAAAAACCCACAAAAAACCCCACACAGAGAAAAAAAATAGTTGTCAATGTATCTTAGGTTGCTTCTGGAGAGTAAACAGACCACTGTGACTTAACTGGGAAATATAAGAACAGCATCTATGTGACCATCTGTAGAGGCTGGTGCCATCAGGAAAACCAGAAGAAGGCAGAGCCCGGAACAGATTCTTACAGTCCCAGCAGGTGGAGGAGGGAATGCAGAGTCAGAGCAAGGACTAAAGGAAGGAGGCTGCACGCACACGGGGAGTGAAAAGCTCTGGGGAGCTTACTGCCCGCTCTTGTATTCTCTGGGGCTTGGGAACTCCCAGGCCCTATTATGGACCATATAATTCAATTTTTCTAAATTATTAAAAATGATGGCACTTATACGCAGGTTGCTTATAGTAATGCAAAAGCTAGGGAGATCACGTACCTGGTGAAGTTATTAACTTGCTGTGATCGTGACATGTTTATACTGTTTAGTTCTGGTACATTCAAATTGGATGACTGGTGTTTACTATGGCAATATGACTGATGTGCTTTATTTGATATTACACCATTACTACAACTTTCAAAACCTGGAAACAAAGAAAAAGATGCATGAACACAGAAACACACACTAAATTAAGTTGTAAACAATGTACCCATATTCTGGTCTTACATGTAAAACTTTCACAATGTAGGAGAGTCAATGTATTACTTAAACAGTAAACAAATAACTTCTTTGAAAGGACATAAGGATATTAATTGTGGGCTGTAATTACCATCTTCCTTAACATTCACTGAAGGCTTATTTATGGATCTTATTTAATCCCCACAACCCCCCAGGTGGGCAGGGTTCTCATCACTCCCATCTAATATATAAATACACCGAAGCTAAGAAGTTCTCCACGTGTGAGACAATGTATGGGCTTTGAGACCGGAGGTGGCGAAGGATACAAACCCGAGAATCACGGGCATGTGTGGGATGGTGAGGTAAATAAAATGAGAGGCACTAATGGAGAAAGGTATGTGCCAATGGAGGAAAAGCAAAGGGGTTATTACTCTATGAAAGGAAAAGAAACGGTTCTGTTTCAGAAAGTGGAACACACAGAGACAGGAGAATCCCTTGGGAAGAACGGAATGAGAGACACAAGCAAAGAAAGACGACTAAGAAAAACTGGAAACCAACCTAGAGAAGTGATGTCATATATGACACAAAAGGAGAGAACTGTCATTAAAACACCAAAAGCCTGAAGACAGAAGGCCAGTGAGCCCATAAAGGGACAGGAGGAAAAGAATGCGGCAGAGCAGGCCCTCGCAGGGGCCGGCAGGGAGCGGATGAGAAAGCAGGCAGCCCAGCGAGGCGGGGTAACGGGCGGACTACAGCTACCACCACCGCAGCACCCCCTTCACGTTTCTACTTCATCGGGAACGCACGGTGACCTTCTAGCTTCACCAAACGTCTATGACTTCATTTCCAAAGACAACTCAGATGCTGGCCTATGTTTATGAAGATCTGCTCAGAACCCAGCCTCAGAACCAGCCCTTCTTCACGTTACCTTCCTGGTACTAAAAACATCCATCTGATCCACTTACCGTTTGTCTTCCAGAACACCGTGAGATCAAGTATGCCTGCGTGCAAAACGGCTATGTGGAAACATCCAGATTTTTAAACATTTTAAATTTTGGTTCAAAAGCACAAAGAAAGGTAAGTAAGTTCTGTCATAACACTGAGTCTCACCAGAAAAATGCGCAGTACTTCCTTTGCCTGATGCTAAGTTGTGGATGTTCATCCCATGGCTGGGGCTCATGCTTGGACTACTGAAAGGTCGAGGACTAACGGGGTAACTGTCTTGAGATTTCGGACTTCGGCCTCCCAGACACCGTACTTCACTATCTGTACCATTCACCATTTCTATAAACTGACGCACTCTAAAAAAAACAAAAGATAAACTGACTTTATTTTCAAACAGTTTATTTAGTACAACAGATTTTTGAGATGAAATATTTTAAAAAACTGTATTTATCACTAAGTATGGCCTTTCCATTGTATACTAAAAATATTACCTGTGGTTTCATACACTGTACTGCTTAAATCTGAAATTTTCCAGAAAAATCAGAGTGTAAAGCAAAAGACATTGTATCTCCTTTATTCAAGAGTTACTGAGAAAATGACAATCTCTCTGTAGTATAATAAAATCAATATGGACTTCATTTCTGAAGTTAAAAATAACTTGATCAAATAATATTTGCACCTGATAGCAAGTCAAATAGTATGTAAGAACACGATGTGCTTTCCTGGACATAGGACACAAAGAGCCGTGCTCCCCACTCTTCCTCATTCCTAGGTCCTTTTGCAACTTCTTCACCAAAATGGGCCACACTTAAAATTTTACTCTAAAGCAAAACAATTCTAACATTTGGCTTACAAAGGGTTTCTGATACTTAAGAGACAGGAAATATTAAGCTTAATAACACCTAAATTTCAAAATAATAAAGATTCAGAAAGACCAACAAAAAAAGCCACATTACGGGGCGCCTGGGTGGCTCAGTGGGTTAAAGCCTCTGCCTTCAGCTCAGGTCATGATCCCAGGGTCCTGGGATCGAGCCCCACATCAGGCTGTCTGCTCCACAGGGAGCCTGCTTCCTCTTCTCTCTCTCTCTGCCTGCCTCTCTGCCTACTTGTGATCTCTGTCTGTCAAATAAATAAATAAAATCTTTAAAAAAAAAAAAGCCACATTACAATGGCTGTTAATAAAAAAAAATAAGATGCAGAAGATAAGGTGTTGACAAGGATGTGGAAAAATTGGAACTCTTGTAGGCTGTTGGTGAGACTGTAAAATGGTGCGGGGCTACTGAATTCTAAGGATTAATGTCCTCAAAAAATTAAATACAGATTTATCATACGGTTCAACAATTCCATTTCTGGGTATATACCCTGAAGAACTGGAAACAGGCACTCCAACAGGTATCTGTACACCCGGTTCATGGCAGCATGATTCACAACCAGAGTGGAAGCAACCCAAATGTCTACCAGTCAGCTTCGGAATGAACGCAATTCTGACATATGCTACATATGGATGAATTCTGAGGACATTTTGCTAAGAGGAACAAGCCAGTAACAAAGAATAAATATGTTATGATTTCACTTAGATGAGGTATCAGGGTAGTCAAATTCAATTTCATACAGAAAATAAAATGGTGTTTGCTAGGAGCTGTGGGCAGGGCGAAATGGGAAGTTCGTGTCTCCGTTTGGGATGACGACAAAAGTTCTGGAGATGGACGGCTGGTGAGGACTGCAGAACAGTGTGACTGTACTTAATGCTACAGAACTGCCGTGTAAAACTGGCAAATTTATGTTATGTATATTTTACCACAACTTTCCAAAATTACACAGACTTACAATAAGGTACTTTGTGGGAAGAAAAACAGATAATCCATCTTCTAAAGAAGATTTTAACACTTTTGAACATATAGCTAGCGTAACAGAAGAGCAAACAGAGCAAAAGATGCCATCTGCTTATAATCCCCAACACAGGGTTTTTTTTTTTAATCATCTGTTACTTAAATGAGCTATATTACAAAATTATGTTAATACCTGAAACAAGGTGAAACAAAGATTAAAACTATTAAAACATGAAAATAATTCTGATTATATATAACACACACACACATAATGTAGTAACTTTTTATTAAAAACTCACTTTAATGTGAAAAGGAGATTAGGATTTCTTTCAAGTAAACTTGGGTATAACTGTTGTGTTGTTTCAATGGCTTCTCCCATTCTTCCTGCTAACACCAATTTCTGAATTCCTAGTTAGAGAAAGAAAGCAAGAGATCAATTTTTTAGGAGTAGTAACATAAGAGGGCCGTCAAAAAAAAAAAGGTAAAAAAATACTTTAAATAAATTATTGCAATTAACTTCCATTTCTTTTTCTAAAATCATAGTTTCTATTAGGCAATCAAGGAGAGATTTTGGACATATTAAAAAACTAGAAATATTAGGTATTTCATAAACTATTTTTAAAAATCACAAACTAATATACAAGTAATACAGGAAAAATACTTGTTAAGCAGTACTGAGGTACTAGACACTAGTTTAAAAAGACGGATGTGTTTACAGCCTACAAGGTGGTGCCGGCCTCACAGAATACTTTTCCCAATCTCATCAAGTTACACACACTAAAAATATGTACAGCTTTTAATATGTCAACCATACCTCAATAAAGTGTTTTTTTAAAAAGACCATAGCAAACATTAGAGAAAATATTCAAAACGTCTTATCAAATATGTAACATTCTGCCCCCAGTACTAAGAGAATGCTAGCCTTTGAGTAAAATCTGAATTCAACATTCACTGAGTGTTCCCTGGGTGTCAGATAATCTGCCAAATCAGATGATGAGTACACAGAAAGAGTACGCGATCATGTCCCGTTTGTCAGAGCTCGTTACATAGTGAGAACTGCAGGCAAGCATACGATTAGTGACAACACAATGTAATCGGTGCTAAAGCAAGTTTCAAGCATCCTGACTTCACCCATCCCGTTGTGTTTTGATGCCTGTCCTCTCACCAGGCCACACTCTGCCCGATGGACTAACGCCCCCAGTGAGAGGGCAAATGGCGGCAGAGCCACATGCTGACTCGCTCCCGCCAGCACAGGCCCCGGCTCTGGCCGCAAGCCCGGGGACTGAAGCAGTAAAAACTCAAGATCAATGCCATCTTTAGACAGCAACTGGAATAATGCAAAGATTTACATTTCTTTCAAGTATTATCTGCACTAGTATCTAGTCATGGGACTACTTTACCAACTTAAAAAAAAAAAAATTTGTTAAATATTTACCTCCTAGATTGGTAAACATTTCTTATACAACTTTCTCCAAAATTATATCTTTCCATATCCAGAATGCTAACACAGTCTTATGTGAGTTTTTTGTAAGGTGGTCTTCAAAAATGTCAATGAAAATAAATTTCAGAGGCATCAATTTTAATATATTTGAAATTTTTTAACTTAAAAAATAAAATTTCTAAAAGTCAATATAACCAAACCTATAATCTGAAAACAAGTATCATCCATGCACCACAGGGTCCTTACTTTGTCTATTCTTAATGGAAGCTAATTCTTCTAGAACGGTCTGGTCTGTAGATCTGGCAAAGGCCTCTGCTGTGGCACAGTACCCATGGTGGACTAAATAAGATGAAACCATTCTTAAAATAAAAAGAAGAAACACACATCTTTTAGTCAAGAGAATACAGGCTTCATACTACAATTTATATAAAACAAGATCTACTCTGTTGTTACAAAACCAACCTATTCCCTTTGAAATAAGGCTTTAGGAACCTCAACTATAAAGTTAAAAAAAAAAAAATCATATTGTTCTGGTCATGTAGTATTTCCAAAAAGAGAACTGCCAACGCCAGGCTACCAGCACTCTCCAGAAGAATGACTGTCACTAGAGGAGAGTCATGGACAGACTCCTGATTCTTGGCTGCCCCTGGTCCCCGGCTTCTTTCCTGTGACTTCCCAGCCTCATATTAAATCCTACTAACCATAATTTCCATTTCATCTTTATTGTACGACCTAGCCCAGTGAAGTGCTGGCATTTTATAAAATACGACGATGTTTAAGTAACAGATGAACTCTGCGTGTCATGGAGTTCAACTCCTTTCTTTACTCATCGGTCACATGAGATGGGATCTACCAGCCGTGAACACAAGAAATACTAACGTGAACACGAGAGAGGATCTTTCAGAACGAAGCCTATGCGGGTGACAATACTCATCAACGAGAAACTACCCCTTCTCATCTCAATCAGTATGATGGTACGTGAAAGATTACTGTACATCACTGGACATGAAAGTATGATTCCCATGGAAGCACCACACTTCCAGAGAACAGAGTTTTCTAAAATGTCATCAAGTGGTCAAAACACCTTGATATCTAACTACAAAAGGTGAGAAACAGTACGACTCAACAATATTAACCCAAATATCCAATATACCCGAATATTCAACTCCTAAACCTGCCTACCTCTGGCATGACCGAGGACCGATCAGAAAGTGGTAGGAAGCAGTGATTCAGGAAAGAGGGATCAGGGGCAGAGGGGAAAATCTCCAGGAAACAGATTTTTCATTTTATTTCATCTAAATGGTCAAATTAGGTTTAAAAGGGTAGGGAAGAGCTTTTTAAAAATGGACTTCCTAGGAAGTCATGGTGAGTGTCAATTTTATAAAGAATGGGGTGGGGGGGGTGGGAGACTGCACTGGACTCTGGCTACAGAATTAAGAGAAATGATGTTTCTTCTACTACTGCCCTGCTGTGATGCTCAGTGGTGACCATTTTTAAAGCACATCCCAGGGATGTGACCCTGGGAGAGCAACTTATCCTAGCTCTAACTCAGGGTAATGACGAGACTGTCAGCCGGACTTTGCTCTCCTGTCAACTGTGCGGGCAAAAAATACCAGTGCAGAGGCTGTGTACTACCAGATGGTAATCGCTCCTGGGAAGAAGCATGTTTTCAGAATCACCATCATATCTTCCAATCATTATTGCCTCCAAAAGACACAGACAAAAACTTATATTGTATCTTTAAATGTACAACTGTTCAAAGCAATTACATAGATATTTAAGACGAACTGTCAGACTGGCGCTATCTGGAAGTCTCTGCTCTTTTCTTGGGTGAGATGACAGCAGTGGAAATGACTACTTACATTTACTGGTACTTACTTACTTTTTAAGTCTGTACTATTTCAAGCTTTATTAAGAGTTACCATTTAGTGCTACGGAGAGCCAGGAGTCATCTCCAGCCTTCTGGCAAAGGTATAGTCTACAAAGTTGACTGTCACAGGACTTATATTTTCCTGACTTCCAATCCAATGAAATTCTACTTTTTCATAAAGAATGAGTTGAGATAAAAGTTGTTCATTTTATGGTACACCTATATCGACACCCACTCTTTGCTCTGCTGCTTCCTAACTGATTCTGTACCACTGTTATTATGGAATCTGTGAAGTATTTATCCTACTTTTAGGAATCCTCACTCCATATTCCTAACTCTTTGATCTTAATTCTTCTGCTGCCTCTTAAATGTCTAATAATAACACGTAAAAGTAAATTACATTAAAAATAATTAGTAAGATTTTTAAAAAACTCCTTCAATTAGAGGCTTCTGGTCAGATTTTCCAATTTAGAATAGGGGCAACTATAACCTCCCTGAATCTACATGAAAAATAATAAACAGATTTAGCAAAAACGGGACAGGGATCCTAATAAGCAAAAATAGTTGATATTATTTCTAAAAGAGTTAACGATACACTGGGAAAAAAATGAGTCAAATCTTGAAATACAAAATGTACATACCAAGTCTGTATTCCAATACATTAACTACACCATTATTTTGATGCTTATTCTTACTGAGTAGTATTTCTTTATCCTCATCCATATCAGAACTACTGCTGAACACAGCCAAGTTCATACCCAAAAACCCACAGCTCCTGAATTACACAATCAAAATTATCTTCCTGAATTTATCTTTTGCATCAGCACTATTTCAAGAGAATCAAGTGACCTATGGAAAGCATTAAATCCAATTACTAAGGATAGCAAATCAATCAACCTAAGCGATCTAGTGTCACTTTATTTCCTCCACTAAATTCGTATGTCAGACTAAAATATAATTTTGTATGTGTGCCACCAAATATAAAATGACTTTTTAATTGTTTAAGTAGAGTGAACTGCTTTTCATAGCGATTAAAAGATAATCAATATGTTAAAATTATTAGGATATATAAAAAATAATTTTTAAGAAGAGTAAATTACTTTTTCCAGAGATCTAAATATAATCAATGATACACTAAGATTATTAGGATACAAATTAGATTAAAAAGCTTCAGTAAATATTCTTTTATGCTAAAAGAATGTTTTATAAGAAATACATTTTGGAATAATAACATCCATTCAAATTTCTTCACTTACTTTTGTATCATGGTTTGCCATTCGCCTTCCCGATCTCCAATAGGAAACCGGTCTATCTGCGCCTGTATTTTGGTTCTCCACTCTCGCATGTAATCTTCTATATCAAACACGAAAGGATGCTGCCCAAAATTGGCATCGACAACTTCTCCTGGCGTTTGGAGCCCCACGGTAGGATATAAATTTGGCTGTAAGACAACACATTCCACTAGCATCTATCTATCCTTTTTATATTACAGACATATTCATTCTTTCACAAATGCTATTTTTAAAATAACAGAATACAATTTACTTCTTGCGTAATTTAAAACTGCAATCAAAACCAGTAGAGAAAGAAAAATGATCTAAATATAATTAAAAGGAAAAAAAATAAAAGAAATACAATTAAAAGGAAATCATCCAAATACAAATGATCTGAAATACATTACGGGCTGGATGAAAAACACCACTTCCTATGCTGTGATCATCAAGAAAAAATATGAAACCACCTAAGTCATTTATTTTGTTTATTCAGAGGCTGTGTGGTATTACACCTACCTATAATGAACAAAAACACAAAATCTTGCTCTTCTGAACAGATCATATAATAGTTACAAAGATTAAAATCTAAACACATAACTCAGACCTTTCTATATATATGTATGATGCATGTCTAGAAATGGCATGTGAGGACCAGTTACCCCAGAAGTACAATCCTAACTGGGCACACACTACTTTTAAGTTTCCTAACTTCATTCCTCTGTACATCTGGCACGCCATTAGGAAGAGGCAGTGGTAGAATGTAATTCTAAGCAAAACACAGTGCCACTGAGAGTAGGGGTTCTCCTTATAAAAACAAATGACTCAAATGCACATATTTTTGGAGCTGAAAAGAATTTAAATATTCAGACTCACAGAGGAATGCATCCAGACATACTCCAAGATTTTGAGGCTAAACAATCAAGTTTAACAGCTTCAAGTACACAAAAACTACGCAAGGTCTTTTGGCTCTATTACTATTTGTTATACCTAAAGTGGGCATGAGCTACTGAATATCTACTGAACAGCAGGGCTTAAGCAACAACATAATCCTGGGAAAAATCACTGTTTGTATTACAGAGATAAAGAAATTGAGGACTGGGGTTCATTAACTTGCCCTGGGTCTAGACTGGAACACAGATTTATCAGACACCAGATCTAAGTTTAGTTTTCCTTCCTACAAACTCCAAATCCTACTTCAATCACCATTCACTGTATTTACACCTTATTTCTTTGCTTTAATGGTTCTTACAAATATTTTCAGTACAAAATCAGGTAGAGACCGAGAGGGGATAATTTGGATAACTGTAAGATGCTCAGATTTCACAGCAAAAAGCTAAGAGGATGTATTTAGAAACAACTCCGCACTCAAGCCACCAGAATCAGAAACCAAAGGAATACTGTGTCAAAATACTGAGAAACAGAACCGCACTGGATTTGCGAAAGAAATGGTAATGCAATGTACGCAGATGTACGGATTCTTAATCAACAAAACTAGCAAGTTCTTACAATCTGAGCTGGAAACAAGCGACAGACCTGTTTCAACCCTCTCATTCCACCACCGAGAAAACAGACCTAAAGAGTGGGAGGGATTTATCCAAGAGCACACAACCTCTTTTTCCTTTTTTTTTTTTTTAAGACTTTATCCATCTGTTTGGCAAGGAGAGACAGAGAGGGAATACAGGCAGGAGAAGCGGGAGAGAGAGCAGCAAGCCTCCCACGGAGAAGGAGCCAGATGTGGAGCTCAATTCCAGGACGCTGGCATCACGAAACGAGCCTAACCAACTGAGCCACCCAGGCGCCAAAAAGCACACTTCTTCATGACAGACATAAAGCAATTAATGTAAGCCTCACCATTTCTAGCACAGTATTCCTTCCATTAAACTCCATTACAAAATTATGATATACTTTAAAACGAAAGTATAGAAGGCCAAAGCTTCTTAATAAAGATAACACCGAATGCAAGGCGATCCTGTTTGTTAAGCAGAATTTATAATTCTGATATTCAGCATTGCCCAAAGATGCTTTAGAAATATTTTGTTTGCTTGGGGCGCCTGGGTGGCTCCGTCGCCTAAGTGTCTGCCTTCGGCTCTGATCTCTCAGGGTCCTGGGATTGAGTCCTCTGTTCGCACTCTGCTCAGCAGGGAGCCTCCTCCTTCCTCCCCCTCTGTGCTCTGTCTCTCTCTCCCTAATAAATAAAATCTTTAAAAAAGATGTTTTGTTTGCTAATCTAAATTTTCCCAACAAATTCAAGAACATAATCATAACACTATAAAAGATAATCGACATTCAGGAACAGTGATAAAATTGTGCCATTAAAAAAGTGTAAAACGAGGGTGCCTGGGTGGCTCAGTGGGTTGAGGCCTCTGCCTTCCACTCAGGTCATGATCTCAGGGTCTTGGGATCGAGCCCCGCATCGGGCTCTCTGCTCGTCAGGGAGCCTGCTTCCCTCTATCTCTGTTTCTCTGCCTGCTTGTGATCTCTCTCTCTGTCAAATACATAAATAAAATCTTTAAAAAAAGTGTAAAACGTTCCTGTGACAAAACATGCCATAAATGTCAAGACAAATGGACTTTATAGCAAAAAACCCTGTTGCACATATGAGAAAGAATCAACATTCTCAGTGCAAACAATATTTTCACAATACAGGACAAAGATTAACAAACCAACTCAAATTTTTTTTAAGTGGTGACAGGTATACAGGCAATTTGCAGAAATATAAAATGACAATGAAAATATGAAGAGACACTTAACCTCACTCAATTTCCTAAAATACAAATCAAAACAAGAAGAGGTTTTTTTGCACATTAGATTAAGATTTAAAAGACTGAAAATACCCAATGTTGACTGAAGGTTGAGACAATAAGCCCTCTCAGCCACTATACACAGAAATGTAAACTGAGAGTATTTCAAGAAAGAAATCTGGCCAAATCTATTAAAACTGACAAAACAATTTCACGTGTAAGAATGAAATCCAACAGAAAAACAATGTGCAAAGATATACCAACTGCAGCATTATTTTTATGGCAAAATATTAAAAAGAATGTCCACTCACAGGTGGTATTACCCACCAAACTCACTGAAACTCAGACTCTAGTAAGATATACCACCACTTTACGTTGAAGAAAACACACGACCTGCTAAATCGGACAGGCCGGCAATCCTAAGATGCACCCCCATTTCATGTCAAAATAGGAAAGATGTGCATCTCAGAAGTTGCGGTAGTGCGTCATACAATAAGATGCTATAAAAAATAAGAGTAAAAAATCTGTATACTGACAGAGAAAGACGTCCTATATATTACTAAATGAAGAAAGCAAGCTAGAGACTACATATATGGCTCTACCTTTTCTGTAAATGGACAGACTGGTTAATACAAGTTTAAAAACAGACCTGGAAAGATATACACTCAAGTCAACAGAGCCATCTAAACAGGCTGGGATTATGAGAAACTTCTCTTTTGTACATTTCTGTATTTATAAACATTTATTATTAGTATTTCAATACTTAACACTGTATATAACTTCTGTAATCAGGAGAACTCAATAAGAAACTGGGCGTGGTAAAGCTAGCTGGGGTCAATGAAAAGTAAGTGTATTTTTATACTACTTACTCAACTTTAAATGAAGAACTAGAGAGAAAGGTATTAGCTTCTAACTGACTGGACCACACATTTAAAAAATAATGTAAAAGACTTTTTCACTTGCTAGACTATAGATTTCTAAAAACAGAACAAATAGGGACGCCTGGGTGGCTCAGTCGGTTAAGTCGCTGCCTTCGGCTCAGGTCACGATCCCAGTCCTGGGACCGAGTCCCGCATCGGGCTCCTTGCTTGGCAGGGAGCCTGCTTCTCTCTCCACCTCTGCCTGCCACTCTGCCTGCTTGTGCGCTTGCTCGCTCGCGCTCTCTCTCTCTCTCTCTCTCTCTCTGACAAATAAATAAATAAAATCTTAAAAAAATAAAAAATAAAAACAGAACAAATAATCACCGAGATGTGCCATCATCACAATTTTAATTTTACAACATTTCCATCATTCCAAAAAGTAACCACGCACCTAGCAGTCCACTCCTGCCCACCATCCCGTAACCCCCGACAACCACTTTCTGACAGCACAGATCAGCCTATTCTGGACATTTCATACCAACGGAATTATAGAATATGTGGTCTTTCATGACTGCCTTCTTTCATCTTAGCATAATGCTTTCAAGGTTCTTCTATGATATAGCATGAATCCAGGCTGTGGATCTTTTTTCTTTTTTAAGATTTTATTTATTTGACAGAGAGAGATCACAAGTAGACAGAGAGGCAGGCAGAGACAGAGAGAGAGAGGGAAGCAGGCTCCCTGTCAAGTAGAGAGCCCGATGTGGGGCTCGATCCCAGGACCCTGAGATCATGACCTGAGCCGAAGGCAGCGGCTTAACCCACTCAGCCACCCAGGCGCCCCCAGGCTGTGGATTTATGTAAAACAATGTTTTCCAGGAAACTTTCTAAATCCAAAAAAAAAAAACAAACAAACAAAAAAACCAACCAACCAAACAAAAAAAATCACCCCTTTTTGTGTAGAATTACACAAAAATGAGAATAACTTAAGCCTCTATGAAGAGAATTTAAAAAGATCTCCTAATTTCTATTAACCTATGAAAAATACAGATCCTAAAAATATTCAAAAGCTAAAGATACACAAAATCATATCATCAATTGTATAATTTTGTTCTGTTTTGAAGATGTTTTCTAATGAAAATGAAAGCAAATAATGTATCTATGAAAAGTAGATTTCAAATCTGCAGCAAGAACTGGAATACAACATCATTTTAGATGAGAGCAGCTTCTGTAACAAAAGGAATTGACCTAATCCCAAACTGAGTGAGTTTACAGAGGGACACTTCCCGAACTGGTGAAGAAAGATCATTTTGAAAAAGATACCAGGTTTTCAAAGGCGTGTAAACACCGTAGGTTCCATGATGAGTGCAAACATCTAGATCAACTTTTGTTCTGTAAATACCCTGCCAGGATGTAATGCTACGACCCGCTAGTGAGGTATCACAGGTACAGAACATACAAACACTTCTTTGGTGGGACACTTAAGGGAAAGACTAGCTTTTTTTTTTTTCCTTTTTAAGTAGCAGAATGCTGTGCTGCACGTGGGAGCCCCAGAAGACCTGAGTCACAAAATAAAACAGAACCACTGTATAAAAAACAAAACAAAAGACAACCTTGCAACAACCACCGTAACCACTTTACCCACTGGTGCTACAAAGCTGAGTATCCTCACTGATTAATTATAGACAAGGCAAAAAACATGACTAGTGACTCTCAAATGGGACAAAAATAATCAGAATACAACACAAAAATAGTCAACATGTCTACAACCAGCTTAGCCTTTTCCAAATTATCACCACTTGTACAAGTGAGGAACAGAAGCTCATCGAACAACTGCTTGCTCCGACAGGTTGGTTTTACTTGCTTAAGGCCACAAAAGAGGTAAAAAAACAAAAAAACCAAACACCCACCCAGGTGAGCCCTTCCACCAACTGCAAAGGGAACAGAATGTCCCTTTGGAGAGATCTAAGCCACACACACCCCATCCGCACCTCGAACTGGCCACACCTGCAGTCCCCCCTTCCTAAGCATGTGACCGTAGCCCCTCGCGTCCAGTCAGTGGTGTGAGGACTGCGTTACTTCTCCTCCCTTTATATTAACTCATCTGCTTGCTACTGGAATCATTCTCATTGGCAAATAAACATCCTGGTAAATAAAAAAAAATCTTTAATTGCCTCCACATCCTCCACCAGCCACCACATGCCACTTGCTTCCTCCCTATTCAGTCAAAATCCTCCACAAAGCTGTCCCTACTTTGTGATTTCCCTCCTCCTATTCGCTAGTAAACTCTTTCCAATGAGGATTTCTCCATCACTCAGTCTGCTGAAACTCTGTGTCAAGGTCACCAGCATCCTCCTCTCTGCTGAATCCGTGATTAATTCCCAGTTCTTAGCCTACGCCTGGTATCACAGGGACATCTCACACAGTTGATTTTGCCTTGCTTCTAGAGAGGCTTTCTTCACTTGGCTTTGAGGACACACCCCCTTCTAAGTCTTCCTCCTACCTCACCGTAGGCTCCTTCTCAATCTCCCTTTGCTGGTTCCTTCTCTTTTCCCAAATGCATGCCTCTCTTCTCTGCCTACACACACTTCCCTGTGGATGTCACCTGGTCTCATACTTTAAACACAGAAATGCCAAGGATTCCCAAAATTTTGTCTCCAGCCCAGATCACTCTCTTGAATTACAGGCCTACATGGCCAACTGTACACTTGGGAACTCCATTTAACTTATCCAAAACCAGGGGCACCTGGGTGGCTCAGTGGGTTAAAGCCTCTGCCTTCGGCTCAGGTCATGATCTCAAGGTCCTGGGATCGAGCCCCACATCAGGCTCTCTGCTCAGCAGGGAGCCTGCCTCCCCCTCCTCTCTTTGCCTGCCTCTCTGCCTACTTGTGATGTCTGTCAAATAAATACATAAAATCTTAAAACAAACAAACCAACCAAAAAACTTATCCAAAACTGATCTCCAGATCCACTCCCCAACCTTAAACCTGCTCTGCCTATATACGGCCATCTCTACATCAGTAAGCGGCATCACCATTCTTTCCATTCCTCAGGCCAAGACTCTCGAAGTCCTATTCTCTCTCGTATTTTTCATATCCAATTCATCAGAAAATCCTCTTGGCTCTCAGTTGGGATATTTTCCAATCATACTTATTTTTATTTTTAAATGTAACTCTTTAATCTACCTGGAACTTACTTTGGCATAAATATAAGACAAAATCCTAAGATTACAAACGTTTTCAAAAAGATAAACACTGGTTCCCGTGCTGCTTATTAAATAATACTTCCTAGTGAGCATGTTGATTTTAGACTCCGAATTTTCCTTGGCTTAGCAAAGCTGTTCTCTATTATAACTTCTATTTCTTCTGTTTTTTTTTCCCCCTAGAATTTTCTTCAGGAACATTAATAACCTATAGATAGGATGACTATCCTCTGCCTCTGATTCTCCTGTCACCCTTCTCAAAACATCTCTGAAACTGAAATGTGTCTTATAAACAGTGGCACCTTACATTTGTCTACACAGGCAGCTGTCCCTGCCTGCACAGGTGTGACTCCATTCAAGAACAAGCTCTCCGAAATTTCTGGAACTTGACTCATTTTTTTCCTGGTGAAACAGCTGGATAACTGCTACCTCTAAGACATTTTAGTCAACAAGTCATGCACAGACCAACTAAGAAAGAAATACCAGAGTCCTGGTTACTGTAGTGCCTTCTGGTAATACTGAAAATGGGCAGCATCAGAGCCTGCACAACGCAATCGGAAGCTTGGGAGAAAATGCGGGAGACAAAACGGAGAGCTCTCAGGAAATGTTCTTGATGGCACAGATGGCAGCATCAAGTAGAAAACCACAGACATCAACTCTAAAAAAGTGGTTTAAAAGACTGGATTCTAAATATGAAGTTTGGGGAATACCTTAGCCAATCTATATTCCTTATTTCATTATTTTCAGGTGTTTAAGAAGTGATACTGATTAAAATCTATACATTATAAACCTACATTTGGGGCGCCTGGGTGGCTCAGTGGGTTAAGGGTCTGCCTTCAGCTCAGGTCATGATCTCAGGGTCCTGGGATTGAGCTCCGCATCTGGGCTCTCTGCTCGGCGGGGAGCCTGCCTCTCTGCCTACTTGTGACCTCTCTCTCTGTCAAATAAATAAATAAAATTTTTTAAAAATCTATATTTAAATACCCTAGGAGATCATTCAGTGAATACAAAATAACAATTTTAAGTGATAGCAAAGCATCCTATCCTGGTTTGTTAGGTCTCTCCCCATTAGCGTTTCCTGTGATGTGTGTTACGATGGGCAGTCTTCGCCTTGGTAAATAAGGTATCCACAATCAAAGCCCTGAAATCTCTAACGATGTGAGTCACCATCACCTGCTGCCTGAATTTCTGCAAGAGCCTCCTCCCAGGTCTGCCTGCTTCTGCCCTAAATCCCTGTCCCAGTCTACTTTTCAAAGAGCCGTCAGCGACCCTTTAAAACCGAAGCTACACCATGGGAACGGAGACTGCGGTGTCTGCATTTCACTCAGAGTAAATGCCCAAGTACTTGCAGTGGCCCTCCAGGTGTCCATGAGCTCACTCGCCCTGCCCCACCTCGACCCTGGACTCACCTAGCGCACTCTTGTCTTCGTCCCCTCTCTGGGCCCCGTCCTTAGTCAGGCTCCTCTACCTGTTTCTCTGCCTGGGCCATTCTTGCTCAATCTACCTATTCCGCCGACTCCCTCACTCTGTTCCGCGTCTCTGCTCCAGTGCCCCCTTGCAAACCTTGGCAAAGGCGAGTGAACCGTACAGCCCATGTTCTGTCTTTGGAACTCCCACTCTCTTGCTCTTTCTTTAAAAGGTACCTACCACCCTTAAAAATGTCACAGTTTATTTGTCCTTAATGTACTGTTTATTCCTAGTCCCCAGACTGAATACGTCAAGAGGACAGAGCCCTTCACCTGGTCTGGAGCATGGTGCACCGCATCCATGGCACAGCCCCTTGCCAAAAGGTTCAGCGATACCAAAGAAACACATTTCAACTGAATGCAGTGGCAGTGACAGTACAAGGTGTATTTTAAGTAACCGATTCTGATTTATTTGTTTAGTTACACAGTTCCTTTGTGCCAGGGCACCTGGCGCCTGGGGAAAGGATCTCTAGTCTACGTATCGTATATAAACTTGATAAGTATCAGTGAGATGGAATTCCAAACATGCTTAATACCAGTTTCTTTACACTTCTTTTAATTAAAAATACAAAACAGCTTTTAAAAGAAAGTATGTCTTACCGGTAGGTCGGTGAAAGCAATACCTAAAACACAAAACAAAAACCAAAACAGCGGCATTAGACATGGCTTTCAAAGGCAGACGGTAGTGACAAGCTGAATTACACTGAAAATAAGGGAAGGAACGGCCAAGGAAGGAAAGGAAAAAATTTAAAACCTAGAATTAAATAGTGAGACCAGTCTTTTTCTCAGTAACAACAACAGAGGTCTGAACGACTGTTCTATCTCCCTTCAAGATCAACATCCTCGTTAGTCACGCCGCAGTGCTCTTTCTGGAGTACTGCGACTGCCTCCAGGACTCTGGTTTCAGACAGATCTTCTACGCTATGTCAAGAACCTTATAAGAAAACTGGTTGCAAAACAGTCACATTTGATTTTTGACCAACACCCAGGCTGCTTTATCGAGCCTTACCACTCAATCTTCCTCACCTACATTTAGCTTTTAAGTAATTCTGGGGGGAAGGGAAAGAAGAGATTTTTTTGTTACCAAGGGGAAAAAAAAAAACGAACGATGCAAAATACAGTACTTTTGTTTCTTAAAAAAAAGTTTCTTCCCATGAAAGTAGTACATTCTTAAATAACTTGACTATTCTGCGAAAAAACTCAATTCCTCATTCAAAGGATCAAGAGTTATATAGCTGAGGATTTCTCATGAATGTCCTCTGACAGTAATTTCACCACAGTCATGTTCAGATACAAGTCAGAAGAGTGAGTCTACTGGCATCCCAAAATGATGACTTAATAATCTCTCTTCAGGGGCGCCTGGGTGGCTCAGTGGGTTAAGCCGCTGCCTTCGGCTCAGGTCATGATCCCAGGTCCTGGGTTCAAGCCCCACATCGGGCTTTCTGCTCAGCAGGGAGCCTGCTTCCTCCTCTCTCTCTGCCTGCCTCTCTGCCTACTTGTGATCTCTCTCTGTCAAATAAATAAATAAAATCTTTAAAAATAATAATAATAATCTCTCTTCAAATACTTAAATACATTACTTCACTGAAAATAAAATAATAAACCAAGTATTTCTGTAGGATCTCATTCATATGCTTAAAAAGACTGAGCTCTAGAAAAACAGGAGATAGTCACTTACTCTCAATTCTTCCAGTCTAAACACACATTAAAACTAAAAAAAACCCACACCAACACCACTACCTATCCTGTGTGGACCACCATCTAAAAACTGAGGGCGTTTCCACTGAATTATCTTTTAAGGCCTCTTCCCACGTGAGATTTTATGGCTCTGTTATTGTGCTGGACCATCAGAAAACACAACTATCTGACTCTATCTATTAAAGAAACACAGTTAAAAGACAAACTGACTATGCCTCTCTACTATATGGTTTTTAATAAATGTGTAAAAACAGGAGTTTGTAGTTAAGTCCCGTCTTTATGACTTTTAAAAACTAGTAAATTCATGTTGGCTTGTCAAAAGGAAAGCAAAACTGGAGGTCACATAAGCTCCCCATAGACAGATTACTTTCAGCTTCATTAATAAATAGAAAGCAAAGTGACCATAGGCCAAATATGAAAATTTATTCTAAAATTCTCAGAAAACTAAAAAGGATACAGGAAACAACACAGAATATTTTAATAAAATATTACCAACTGTATCTTAATATCTTAATCATAATTTAGCAGCCTAAAAAGTTATTTTCCTCAAAGACATCTACTATAGCAAAGATGCTCTACTTTTACAGTTTTAGCCAAAATTCCTTTTTGTTAATTGCTGAAATCCTCAGTCTTTACCATAAACTCTAATGAAAAACCCAACTCAATTCCACAGATTAACATTTTTGAAATGGCTACCACAACCTGTACACATTCAGACCACAAAAAGATGCTACTTTAGTAAGTTAGATTTAAATTTTACCTGGAAGACAATTTTTTATATTTATAATTTTCTGATATGTCAAAAGGCTTTTCAAAAAGTGATCTTCAATTGATGATTTTCAATAAAACAAAGTAAAAAAACTTCCAATTAAATTAACCTAGATACTGAACTGTTTCTCCTTTAACTATTTTCTCAAATAAAAACCTTTCCAGTTCTATTTCTATGATCAGTAAATATATATTTTTAAAACCTTCATGAGAAAGAAACCAGAGATATATCAGCTTTTGGGTAGAAATGATCCACTCTGGGAAGTATAACAGTATGTAAATAATATTTTTATCTTCTAGATGCTAGAAACTGGACCAGAGGGAAGCATACTTCCATGAAGACCTAGAGAGTAAATCTCTTCCACTCTCCAGGCTCTACGGTCTCTGTCACAAGTACTCAGTCCTGCCACTGGACAGAAAAGCACTGTATACATAGCACAAACGAACGGGGGTGGCTCTGTTCCCATGAAACTTGACTTAAAGCACAGACAGGAGACCAGTCTGGATCATGAGCTGTGGCGGGCTGACCTCTGTTCTAAAGGAGTGACTTTTTACCACTGCATCCCCAGCATCTAGCCCAGACTCTGGCTCACAGCACGGAATGAGTACTCACTATGTGCCAGGCAGTCACTTAAGAACTTTGCATGCATCATTTCAGTCTACTTTACCAACCAGAGAAATTACAGGTATTACAGTGGTCCTACTTACAAACTGAGGCACAGAAATATTAATTTGCATAAGGTCACATGGCCTAAGCCAGGAGACAAACCCAGGCAACTAAAGAACCCATATTAACGGCTCTTATATTGCCTACGTGCTTAATAAACATGAAATTTATAAATAAATACTGACAATGTCTCAAAAATTTACTTAAAATTAGAACGTGATTTTATCATGAAGTACCCTTTTCTTAGGAAGTATCTCACATTTTAAATAGGTTTCTTATTCAAGAGAAAATCTCAATATTAATGTTTGTGAAAATCTAACAAGAAACAAATAAAATCACATCACCTATGATCTATTTCCCAAAACAAAATTCCTTCTCTGGAATAAAGTTTTAAAAAACAGTAAAAAGACTAATTTTGGGTTTAAAAATATGCCTTCTTTTGTATTTTGGAATCAAAGGTCATACCTAAAAGCAGATTTCTGCAGTTTAATTTAAGATCAAATACCTTAAGCAAGCAAGGCAACTAAGACCACCCTGGGTTAAATGCTGTGAAGAGTCAGAGCCAGGACAGTAACACAGAATAAACTAGAGGCTACATCATCTGGAAAGGGGCCGGCCATAGCAATCAAATCACAAATCCACACATCTCCTGGTGTCCCGAAGCAACACTCCTGTGTGGACTTGGGACAACCTTTCTGTTGCTAAGACAGGACTTCAAAATCAGTATTACTATTCAGAACGAAAAGACTTAAGCTGCATATAAAAGTGAAGACACTAATTTTATGTCAGGAATATGACAGCTATTACCAATGCAGCCAGAAATCTAGAATTTTCTACTATGAAATGAAAGACACAACAGTTTTTGTGTTATATTAAAGAACATCTATTATACGCCTAAGGACACTATTTGCAGTCTAATTTTTAAATTTATGAACACAATGAAATTTCTGCCTTCCGAGGCTAGTTTTTGCTTCCTTTTGCTTTACTTCATCAGAAGTAGTTTGCTTTGAATCAAGCACTTCTCTAGTAATGTGAACCATTTTACTTTTAAAGCATCAGTCTTACTATCCTTCATAGTTTCTGTATAAAAAGAAAAACAAAAAAACTTCTAAGGGAATATAACCACCACACAGAGTTCTCAATTTTAAACCCTACAGGTGCATATGCAACCAAAAAGCCTGATTTTCTACTAGTCTTGGGATGGCTATACCTCTTTATGTTTTCATTAATTTATTTTTTTATTTACCATCTGTCTTTTATCCTTGGAAGTTTTGCTGTTATGGTTTTAATTCTGCTCCTTTCTGCAGAACTTGTAGTCATCACCCTTTAGTCATCACTAAAGGGCAGGCCTGCCCTTTTAGTGGGTCAAATGCCTTTCCTTTGGTTGACAGTATCAAGACTTTCCTTCATTATTACCCCATACTACACTAAAAACTGACAGCCTTTTTTTCTTAGTACCTGTTACTTAGAGAATTCAGTCATACTATGAAGTGTTTAGTGTCTTACTCAAAGCAGAAAAGACTTAGCATTTCTTTTACTAGAATAAATATGGGAGCATGGGGATTATTTTCACAGTTACTCCCATATATGTGATACAACGTGGTGTTCAGAGAATGCAAATTTTTACCATTTCCTCAACTTCCACCTGGAAAGAACAAAGAAATAACATCCAGAGTCATGTACTTACAATCAAGGACTACACAACAAGTATGACTACCATGCTAGAAGTACAATAATCACAGTATTTGATTACTTTACATGCAATACATTATCTTAGTACCTAAACTATGTCCATTCTTGGTGTAGAAGCAGGTATTGTTGATAAGGTTAACACAACAGCCAATGACATCACCAGTCGTAAAAGTTGGTCCATAAGGTTGTCCCGTTCCAGAAGAACAAAATGAATGTCCATCATCCCCATGATAACCATATGAATGTTTATCCCAGCCTAAAGAGAAAGTTCCAGTATATTTACAATGAAAAGTAAGGTTCCTCTGTACTAGAGCTATTCACTAAGATTATGACAAGAAAAGCAAGAATAGTACAATAGATGATAGCACAAAAGTAAAACTCTCAAATGTACATGTAAATTCCCAATAATTACACCACATGATTTCTACATTAAAATACTGTTTGCAACACGAAGGAAAATAAATCTGCCACACAGAAGACTAAAACATGTGTTAAACAAGACTCTTACCATTAAAAAAAAAAGGGGGCAAGACACATTTTCCATGCATATTTCCTTTGCTAATAAACCAAAGCGATTTTGCTTTCATTTACACACACAGAGTTTAATATAAAATAGAAGAAGATTTTTCTATTTTCAAAGTTTCCTCCCAAATTAATTTTTAACATTAGTAAAAATAACAAAAAATATAATCCAAGAATCACTTTCATCTGATTAATGGCTTTGGGAAACAGTTCTGCCATCTCAGCTGACACCATCCTTAGCTCACTTGGACTATTAGCCTCCACTCCCAGAATACTGAACAAATAAAAACAGGTTAAAAGCCAGGAATGTACTGGATAGCAAAGAGAATTAATCACATTAAAATATTTAAAGTCATTGATATGACTATGTAATAGAAGTTAAAATACCAAAACAAGCAAAAACATAAAACAAAAAAATGCATGGTAGATACAAGTTTTGCTAAATAGCATTAAACTTAAATTTTTAAAAACCACCTGGCTTCCCCTTCAAACTCATAACATAGAGGAGATTAAAAACACAGAAAATCAATGTACTTAACTATTTCAGTTATTACTTCAAATTTTTAGACAGAAAGATATAGCCATAAGACAGTATTATAATTCAATTACAAGTACCTGGTAGTCTATTCATGTTCACACCTTGAGCAGAAAGACCAATTCCCATGTAACTGTTAAAAAAAAGAAAGGGGGGGGGGCAGAGAGAGGAACAAAAGCAGGTTATTATAACCATATATGTAAAAATTACCAAATACTCTGAAACATATCAGAACCCAACCCAAGTTGAAACTCACAGGGCAGCTACAAAAAAATTTTACAATTCATTAAACAGCAAAAAAGGCAATATTAAGCAACAATAAAACTCAGATTCACAGTAAATTCCTGTAATACTCATTCTTAAATACACCCAAAGTACTAGTAATAATTATATACTCTACTAACAACTATAAAAACCTTTCAACTTATCCACACTTAAGTATTCAGGATTAAGATTTCTAATAAAAAGCGTAGGGGGACTTGTGGAAGAAAAAAGAAACAATACTTAGGAAACTATTATATTTCCAAAAAGACACAGTAAGAAGACCACAAAAAAAGGGACACGGATACATATTTGGAAAAAATGTCAAATTCACATAAAAAACATGTGATATATTTAATAAAATTACATTTAAAAGTATGTACTGTAGGGGCGCCTGGGTGGCTCAGTGGGTTAAAGCCTCTGCCTTCGGCTCAGGTCATGATCCCAGGGTTCTGGGATCAAGTCCCACACGTTGGGCTCTCTGCTCAGCGGGGAGCCTGCTTCCTCCTCTCTCTGCCTGCCTCTCTGCCTACTTGTGATCTCTGTCTGTCAAATAAATAAATAAAATCTTAAAAAAAAAAAAAGTTTGTACTGTATAATATCCATGTACTGGTTTTCTTAGAATTTGGCGAAATGACAGAATCAAATTAAAGATAAGATTCTTTGTTTTTGGGGCGCCTGTGTGGCTCAGTGGGTTGGGCCGCTGCCTTCGGCTCAGGTCATGATCTCAGGGTCCTGGGATCAAGTCCCGCATCGGGCTCTCTGCTCGGCAGGAAGCCTGCTTCCTCCTCTCTCTCTCTGCGCCTGCCTCTCTGCCTACTTGTGATATCTCTCTGTCAAATAAATAAATAAATAAAATCTTAAAAAAAAAAAAAGATTCTTTGTTTTTAATTTATCAAACTAAAAGAACAAAATTATCTCCAAAAAAAGAAATATAAAAGGAAAAATTATTGAACTATGTGATTCATTTTAGCTTATAAAATATTAATAAAACCTGATAAAGATAGCTGAAAAGTGGGAAGAGTATAAAACAATATACTTGTAAGTACTGATGCAAAAAGAAAAAGAAAAGCCACTGACTAAATAAAAGAATAAGGTTGAATCCAGTTTGTGAAAAGGCTATGATTACATCAAGACTTAAAATGGCACTTGATAAATTTTGCTACCATTATTATTATTTTTAAGATTTTACTTATTTGAGAGACACACATAGAGCGTGAGCATGAGCAGGGGGAGAAGCAGGGATAGAGGAGCAGAGAGAGAGGGAGAGGGAGAAGCAGACTCCCCCCCACCCCACCCCAAGCAAGGACCTTGACATGGGCCTAGATCCTGGAACTCCAAGATCATGACCTGAGCTGAAGGCAGCCTCTAAACAGACTGAGCCACCCAGGCACCCTTTAGCTACTATTTTTAATAAAAACTCAACCAAAATAAAAGCAAACTAAAATACGACACACTTTTTACCAAATCTAATACAGCAAGTATTCAACAGTAAACACTGAAGCCATCTCCATTAAAATCAGGACATGGAATTGTCTACTACAACTGTTAAATAGTATTTTGAAGGTTTCAGATAATTTAATAATATAATGAAAACAAAAAACCAGTATTAATATTAAAAGATATAAAATAATCTTTATTTTTAGTTGCCATGATTATATACATAGAAAACTACAGAAACTACTAAAAGCTTAGAAGATAAACTCTCATGTGGGCACACTGTAGAATATTGATAACACATAATCCTAAAAGCTTACAAAGAGAAAAGGCAAATTATCTCCCCCAAAAAAGGACCATTTATGACAATAAACAATGGCACAAAAGCACTAAGGATAAAGAACTACCAGCTTAGAACTGAACGCTCAGATAAAGTATCACTGAAAATGAGGGCAAAATAAGGTATTTTAAGACACTAAAAAGCTAACGGCTTACTTTCCACAGAACCTCACAAAAGAACTATTTGAGGATATGCTTTAGTAGAAAGATAAGTGGAAAAAAATGAGAAGAAATACATGGGTCAAAGAAACAATAATCAGCACAAAAAGCATGAAATATATACTTAAAAAGAGCCAAATTCTTTAAAAATACTATTGCTTTTAAAATCTGTAACCCATATATAATATGCTAGAATACAATTAATGATACTTTACATAAAAAGACACAGGAAAATATCACCCACATTCAAGAGAACAGAAACAAAAGAGAATGCCTCTGAGATGATGAAGTGTTTGAAATTAAAATATAAAGAATTTTGAAGCCGCTGTTGTTACAATGCTCAAGGACGTAAAGAGAAATGTGCTTGTACTGAATGAAATGATAGCAATTTCAACAAAGAAAACGAATTTAAAAAAAAAACAAAATTCTGGAGCTGAAAAATATCTGAAATAAGCATTTACTTATGTACTTAATGGCACACTGGAAATGGCAAATGAGTAAGTAATGATGAAATCAGAGCAGATTCTGAAGAACAGAGAGAAAAAATATTAAGGCTAAAAAAGAGAGCTGGCTGAGGCAGCATCGAAAGGTCTATCAAACATGTAACCAGAGTCCCACAAGGAGAAAAAGAGAGTGGGTCAAAAATTCAGAGAACAAAATAATCCAATCAAGAAATGGGCAGAGGACATGAACAGACATTTCTGCAAAGAAGACATCCAGATGGCCAACAGACACATGAAAAAGTGCTCCACGTCACTCGGCATCAGGGAAATACAAATCAAAACCACCATGAGATACCACCTCACACCAGTCAGAATGGCTAAAATTAACAAGTCAGGAAATGACAGATGCTGGCGAGGAGGCGGAGAAAGGGGAACCCTCCTACACTGTTGGTGGGAATGCAAGCTGGTGAAACCACTCTGGAAAACAGCATGGAGGTTCCTCAAAATGTTGAAAATAGAACTACCCTATGACCCAGCAATCGCACTGCTGGGTATTTACCCTAAAGATACAAACATAGTGATCCGAAGGGGCACGTGCACCCGAATGTTTATAGCAGCAATGTCTACAATAGCCAAACTATGGAAAGAACCTAGATGTCCATCAACAGATGAATGGATAAAGAAGATGTGGTATATATACACAATGGAATACTATGCAGCCATCAAAAGAAATGAAATCTTGCCATTTGCGACGACGTGGATGGAACTAGAGGGTATCATGCTTAGCGAAATAAGTCAATCGGAGAAAGACAATTATCATATGATCTCCCTGATATGAGGGAGAGGAGATGCAACATGGTGGGTTAAGGTGGTAGGAGAAGAGTAAATGAAACAAGATGGGATTGGGAGGGAGACAAACCATAAGTGACTCTTAATCTCACAAAACAAACTGAGGGTTGATGGGGGGAGGGGGGTTGGGAGAGGGGGGGTGGGGTTATGGACATTGGGGAGGGTATGTGCTATGGTGAGTGCTGTGAAGTGTGTAAACCTGGCGATTCACAGACCTGTACCCCTGGGGATAAAAATATATTATATGTTTATAAAAAATAAAATTAAAAAAAAAAAAATAAAAATAAATGATTTCCTGAGGGGGGAAAAAAATTCAGAGAACAATTTTCCAGATTTGGGAAAAGAAAAAGATCTATAAATTTAAAAAGCATAGCAAACCTTGCAGGTTCAATACCAAGAAAAGCACACCTAGGCACAAATCAAAGCCAAACTGCTGAAAACTTAAATAATAAAACAAAATAAAAGAACAAACACTGAAAGCAGCCAGAAAAAAAAGACATTTTACTGTCATAGGAACACTGAGCTGAACACTCACGCATTTCTCATAAGAATATAGGAAGCCCAGAAGACAGTGAAAATGAAATCTCTATTAAACCAAAGCTGGGGGAAGGGGGACTCATGCTTTATTATCACATTTAAGGTCCTTAAAATGACTACGCTATACGAAATCATGCAGTAAAAACCACAGGGCTTATCAGAAAAAAATGGGGTTATAAGCACAGCATTCCTAAACGCCATCAGTAACACATTAAAAAAAAGGGAAGAACCCAACTTAAAAAAACCCCAATTCAATAAAAAACGATTTTACACACATTAAATTGTTTAAGATACATAAACACCACAATAAATATGGCACTTTACACTGAAAAAGATCTGACGTTTACTTGGGGAAGTAGGTGACACAGCACGGTAGCTTGTGGGTTATTGTGAAGTGGTAGAAGGAAAGTTACTTGATGCACAAATCTGTCCCAGCAGATGTGGATGGGTGTGGCTCGTAACACGCAGTGAACCAACATAGTTGGTACAACACCTCAGGGTGTTGCAGAACATATAAAAACAAACTCAAATTCAACAGCAGTGAGGGAGTGGCAAGATTTTTAAAGCACATGAACAAAAATGTATTACTGCGGTACTCTGTGTTTAGCAAAGGAAACAGACATAAAAAATTTTCAGATCAATATATCAATACAGATATTTTCAAATTTTACATTTACTACCATTTTTTAAATTATGGTTGTACCAAATATCAAATAAAAGAGATTAAGAAGACTAGTTTAATTCCTACTATAGACAGGTTTAAGTCCACTAGAGCTTGTTAGTTTCCCATCTGTTCTCTCCATTCATCCTTTCCTATGTTCTTTGTAATTTTCTATATTCAATCCTTGTTAACGTCTTGCTATACATTTTGGTACTATATGAATGAACAACATGTAAGTGTTAAAAAGTACACCTTTGACATATCTTTGATTGAATTAGTATATTTATCACATGATGACAAGGTAACACAAAGCTTTTTAAAGCCTGTTTACCTCTTCCCACATTTTTGCTACTGTTGTCATGTTTTATTTCTCAAGATTTTATTTATTTGTCAGAGAAAGAGAGAACACAAGGAGGGGGATCTGCATGCAGAGGGAAAATCAGACTC